ATTTTTTATAAAATATATAATACATAATTTAAATATTTTATAAATTAAATCGTGAAAAGCCTTTTATTGTTTATTCAATCGTAATAATTCTAAAAACGCTAAATTTTCATCATCTTTGTTATTTGATAGGAATAATTATGTATATTAAAACATTAATATTAAATAAAATGTATAGCCAACTTTGAGTTACAAAAGTTAATTGAATTTGGAAGAATGAAGGTAAATTTAAAAAAAAATTATAAACTTATAAACTTGTAATTAATAATTGTATTTATTTTTAATAATTTGTGCAACTTTTTCATTATACATATTTAATATTATTTGCACATACTTTTATTAGAAATAAAAAACATTAAAAATTACAAACGTAATTGTTTATCCTTTTTAATTATAAATTATACGTGGTATTTATTAAAAAATTCTATCTATTTGTTACAAGTAATAAAAGTATGTAACTTAATTTTATATAACATGTATTGTATGGATTAACCAAATAGTTTATTATAAGTATAATTAATTTTAATTAATTTTTATTTTTTTAATTTAAAAAATTTTTCCAATTACATTTAAAATTTTTTATTTTACGATTATTTTAAATTTTAAATATGTTTGTTTCATATTTGCTGAAAAAATCTTATATTATAAACTTTTCGCTTTACAATAAATTTTTGTAACTAGTTCCTAACTATTATTATTTATATAACTATTTATATTTACATTAATACAGTTAATTTCACAAGGTTTTTACTTTAAACAGTGAATTAAACAGCAAAATAAAAAGTCAACTTTTTATTAAAAATATTATATTTTTATTTGAATATAATAGTTTTTTCATTTTAATTAATATCTAAGATGATCATAAAACATGAGGACAAAAATCATTATAAATCATAATTCAGTTAATATACGTGCATATTTTATCGTGTATTTTTTAAACAGTACCTTATTTAAAAATATGTTTAATTTATATAAATAGCACTTTTAATAATGTTTTTATTGATTACATTTAAAGTAGTTTTTACAGATTTTTTTAATTCATTTTTGGAAAAGCATCTACAATTTTGCGTACAGTAAGTAAAACATCGATACAAAATTATATAATACAAAAAATAGACTAAATGTACATTTATATTTCTTAAGATTTATTTATCAATATTAAATTTTATATATTTTTATCTGGACGATTAATAGAAAATCCCGTAAGAAACACATTACATAATACTAGAATTATTTTTTATAATTTTAGTATTATGAATAAATAGTATTGTACAAATTAAATCATAATCGTAGCAAAATATACAGTAATTGATATTTTACACGTCATTATACATCATATATATCGATATTAACGTACAAAAATAATAAAATTAATTCATTTAGCAACTGCTATTTATTATTCACTTCCAAGCAAACATTGAATATAAATGTACGTTTGTATGAAATATGCACGAATACACACTATCAAAATATTTAACCATACATTCGCACTATATATTTTAATCATACATATATAAGAAAATTTTATAACAATACGATTTTTATTATTTGTCTGTACATTATATGACAAAAACCTGACAATAACTATTTTTTGTCAAAAATGAAAAACTGAGTTTGTTCGAATTACATTTGTTTTGATTTTTTCAAGTACATTAAGTAGGATTCGATTAAAATTTTGTTGATAATAACAATAGAGTTATGTAATTTATAATACTCATTCAAAAATAACAAAATAATGTAAAAGTGGCACATAATATGAATAAAAATACTGTTAATCTTTAATGTAATATAAAGCATAGTAATCACCGGTGCTGAATAATAAATAATGGATTTATATAATTATATTCCAAAAAATATATTCAATTAATATATAAAAATTAATTCTCTACTTGTCTATTATAAAAATATAATTATTTATTATTTATTTAATAGAAATCATATTTATCTGTAATACCTGAGTTTAAATTATATATGTATATAAACAAATTCCGAAAATTAAAAAAATTATTAGAATAAAAACATCAGAAATAATATTAGAGTCTGATAAGAAACATAATCAATTTAGGTGTACTTAACAAAATTGTTGATATTTATAATTTTCAGTTTCTATTTCAATTTAAATTAAAATAAAAAATTATTTTTAACAAAAGATATTGATTACTACTTTACTAAAATAGAGATACATATTAAAAGAAAGTTTTTCAGTGATAAATTACAACAATATTTTCATTTTAATCGAACTCAAAATTCCAAAATCCGGAAACTAAACTATCAAAATGTTATGAGTTTCATTTACGTTACTACATTGCTATTTAAAGAACTAATAGATGTTTGATAAATGTATGATGTCAAATACAAAGTTATAAATATATTGTTTCGTTAAATTACATATTTTATATTAAATGCTATTTATGTAATGTTACTTTTTTTGGTGTTAATTAAAATTAATAAAATAATTTTTTTAATTAAAGTAATATTTCATAAAATATTAATTTATCGTGAATAAAAAAGATATTGTTTGTAAATAATTATATATAATTAGTCTATGCACTAAAAACTAAAGAACTTTTAAATAAAATTAACATTCTCCAAATAAATATTTTTTCATCGTTTAATATTCTTATACAGAACATATTGTATTTTTAATAATTTACTTTTTAAATTAAAACTATAAATTAAAATATCATCAATAAAATACAACTAATTTGATCACGTTTTCACTGTCGTTCAAAATGTTATTTCTATTGCTATAGAAAAAGCCTGAAGTGGAATGTAATCACTTATATAATTAAAAATTGAACAAGTTTTTATTAAATATATTCTGTATTAATTTTTATATTGTCCAATAAATAAAATTTTATGCTTCACGGAAGCTAATCTTAAATTTTATTTTTAATACAAATATAATTTATAATTTTTTGACTATATATTTAGAAATTAATAAAATTTATTTTATATTCTTATTCTATATACTATAATTAATAATTTAAAATAAGTAATTGAATTTTTTAAAATGTCTGAAGTTTTGAAAAAGATACCTTTGTAAAATAAAAATATTTTTGAAACTATAAAATAAAATATAATAAATATTTTTATGTTTCAAATAACAAATTTTCTCAAAGGTGGCTATTTTAAAGATGGAAAGTGCAGTAACTTTTACATAGTCTGAACATTAAACATGTATATTTATATGAATGATAAATATGGACCATTTTTTGTTCATAGATAAAATGAAGTTCTTGTTAATACTTTTGAACAGATCTTAAATTACAGAGATAATAAATAGGAACAATGCTGCTAAATAACACCTTGAATATGCGAAAAACATAAACTAAACACAATTTTTGTTTTCGTTTCATTAAAAATGCATATTTTAATTTATAAAATTATGAAGACGTATAATTATACTGTATTTAGAAAAGATTAATAATTTTAGTTTATTGATTTACCTAATAATTGTTAATAAGTATAATTTAAAAATTATTTATAGTTTAAAATATTTTTACAATGCACTAATAGTATTGCAATAGTTTACTATTTTCGAGGATTACTATGTAACCGTTAGTATATCACAAGAAGCATTCTATAAAAAAATGTTTAGATTTTATTTTATAAAAATCTATTTTAAGTATTATTCTTAAATGACACTAATAATTTTAAATTTTTTATTTTATTATAACAGAAAGATAAGTGGGTATAAAATAATTACGATAATATAGGTAGTGACGTGTTTTAAATGCAAGATTACAGTTAATCTTAGTTAATTTACATTTAAATTTTATAAATATATCATTAAAGAAAATTTATATAATTATTTGTATTTAAAAAATGTTTAACCTGTTATTTTAATCGAATTATTTTAAAATTATTTCATCACAAAATCACAACCAACAATTAGTTATAAAACATTTATACCTTAAATATCATGATAAAATTGAAACTAACCGCATTTAACAAAAAAAGACTGCAAGAAAATTCATTTGAATCATAATTAAAATAGTTTGTTCTTTTTAATGATTTGTGCAAATAGAGTAATATATTAGAAAACTCCCTCAAATGGAGTAATATATTAGAAAACCTCCACTGTCTCCCAAAAATATGACAATGTAAAAACAAATAGTTTGTTTTATGCTTTATATTATATTTTTTTATTGTATCGTTTACTATATTTGCAATTTGTTTTATAACATGAATTTTTAATAACAAATGTTAAACATTTAGAAAAACGCTTCTTTGCATTTTTATGAATCACTTGAAACAAAAAAATATATATTAAAAAAATTTTCTAATTTTTTAAAATATACACTTTCTAATTTTATGCAATTCATAAAAATATAAAAATGTGTTTATGTAACGTAAATGCTTAATTTTTACATCATATAAATTTAAAACAAGCAAAATTTATATAAAAGGGTGCTTTTCAAAATAAAATTATTTAATCCAATGATATAATAAATCGAAGTTTATTGTTCTCTCTAATCTTTTATATTATAACTCTACTGAACAAAGTATAAATGTATAATAATTACTTTAAGGCATGAAAAAATATGTATCTTAAAAAATGAAGCAATATAATAAAGGAAAGGTTTTTTAATGTAAAGGAAAAAATTGCATTCCAAATAAAAATTAAATGGCATCTTAGGCACAAATTAAATTAATAAAATATAAATTACTAATTATTTTATTTTACACTAATTGTTTGAACTAATTGTTCAAAATATTGTGATTTAGCAATATGGGATTGAGCACGATCTTTTATAAAATAACTGTTATATAAAACAGAGCTATTGCTACATAATTCGATTGTCTTTGTTCTTAGTCTTTAATAAGTCTGTTTAATTAACAAAAAAAACCAATATCAAATTTAATACAAAATTTGTTTTCATCAAATAATCCGAAATTTTTATAACATGCTTCTCATTGGAATAAAAATGTTGAATTATTTAATATACGAAGTAAATACTTAATCTACTTTTTAAAATGACTATTTAAATATCTTATAATAAATCTGTTATTGGAATCTATTGTAACCACTTGCTTCTTAATAATTTTTCTTAATAATAAAAATTATCTTTTAATCAGTTAAGAGTGAACAAAATTGCCATTTGCAACCTTTTTTGATACTTATGAGTATCTTAAAAATATTGATTAAAATACACTCGATCTACTAATTTAGTAAAGGATTGGGTATACGAGCAGCTCCACGCCTTGTCCTTCCAGCAATTCGTTCCATAGCATTGAAACGGGCTTGTAATTTAAAGGCAAGTTCGCGATCTTCACGCTCCTGTACTGCTAATTGCTCAAGCCGCTGTTGTTCCTTAATGATCTCCTTTTCTTCGTCATCGTTAGAATTCGGGGAAGTTTTAGCAACTATAGTCATTGTAGTAGCTGCTGCAGTTGAAATTGATTTTTTTATTTTCTTCTGTTTACTATTTTTACAATAATTTTTTGAAGACGTCAAATATGAACAATTTACATTGAATCTGTTGAGCTCCACTTTCTCATTCATATTCATTTGTTTTTGTTTCTGTATTCCATCCAAAATAATATTTTCTTCTTCATTTTCCTCCTCCTCTCGCTCAACCTCATTATCTTCCTCCTCTTCCCGTTCAACCTCATTTGCTTCCTCCTCTGAATCCTCAGTGTATTTACGACGCTTTATGGATTTCGCCGTTAACCTTTTAATCTGACTCGTTACTGTTGTCACTGTCCGCATTTTCGTCTTAGTTTTTGGCTTCATCTTTATGGTCATATTCATTTCCATTATTTTTGACTTAAGACTTTTTGTATGGGATTTTTTACTTTTAAGTTTTATTAACTGCTCATCAGTTGTCATCTACAAAACGTAAATTATTAATATATTTAAATATTCTTTTTATTCCTAATGTTATTTTAAGATATTTTGCCAAACAAGATATACTAAAATAATTACTTGTAAATTTATTTTACTTTAATTATTTATACAATATCTATTCAACTATCTTTATTCAGATTTTAAATAATAATACTTTTTTCTTGTTTATAATTTTCCTAGATAAATGCTTAGTTAATTTATATTTATACATAACCCATTAGAAAAAAATTTTAATTTATATAAATTTTTAAAAATATTTTAATAGTTTTAATTAAGAAGTTGTAAAATGAAAATTATTTAAATATAAATCTGTAATCTTAAAATTTTTCGATTAATTTGAAGAAAACAGAAATACATATTGATATTTTATAAAATCAACAATTAAATTTTTTTATACTTCAATTATTTTTGTATTTAAAACCGATTCTTAAGTAAACAAAATTAAATTAACGAAGTTAATAAGAACGAGTAAGAATATTTATTAATTTAATTTAAAATTTATTTTTATTTATTCACATGTACTGAATTTATCATTATAAAAAATAAATATTTAAAAACTTATTTTTTATAATACATTTATTGAAACTAATATTAAATATATTGTTTGTTTTCTTAAGTTCTGTACACTGAAGGAACAAATAATTATTCTGTACCATTAATGGTATTTTTTATATTTTTATAAAATGATATAACATTTAAATTGTACAAGTAAAAATATAGATTTTTCAGTAAGCTAATTTTTCTATTTGTAAGCTATAAAACATAAAATAAGTTACTTTAATAATTTGTTGGAAAGTCATATTAAAATTACATTCAAATATTATAACTATAATTATATCTACTTATATTTATAAGATTACAGGATGATAGATTATAAAATTACTTGATGCTAATTTATAAAAATATTTACTAACCAAGTTAAATGGACTTTGGACGTTTTCAGTATTATTACTTGTTCTAGTAATCTTTCTTTTTTTAATTCTCTCAGCAATATTTTCCATAGCTATTTCTAGCACTGGACTCAATGGTTTAGTTTTAAATTTGGATATAATTTTCAAAGGATCTGAAGTGTATATGTGTTGCGAATTCTGCTTATTATCTTCAATTTCTACGATCTCAATAGTTTTATTGATGCTCTTCTTATTTTTACGAAGTAACCCATTTTTAAGCTTACCTTCCTTGCTCCTTTTTACTGAAATACTGTCATTTGGTTCTTTACAATCTAAGTTTAGTTTTTTATTAAACTTAGCACCATTTATTATTTGTGTAACGTTTTTAGTATAATTTTTATTTTTATCAAAATTCATGGGTGTGTTATGCATATCGATTTCTTGCAGAGATTTGTTTGATTTGATGATTTGCAATTGCTCTGATTTTATTTCAGTCTTTTGTGTTTCTTGTTGATAGATACTAGATACATCTTTCAATAACGTTTGTTGTTGCCTTGATATTCCTAAAATAATTTTTATATATTAAATGACAAAAAATCAATAATTATATAATTATATATTATTAGAAACTATAAATTATATTATTTCAAAAAATTTTTAATTTGTTCAAATAATTTTAAAATAATACCTTATTTATTATATAATTTGAATTAATAAAATTTTTTTACTAAGAAACAAACATACCGAATTATTATTTTATGATTTTAATATTTATAGTCTTATATTACACAAATTTCACTCATATTCATTTATAAAAAAATAATATTAATAGTTATATTATTGTACAAAATTCAGTAATTTTTCAATTTAAAATTAATAAAATAATAGTTTTTACATAAAAAAATTCACATACATTAAACGTAAGAACAACGAACAAATAGTAAATTTAAAATACTTCTTTAAATGCTTAGAAGTTTACACTAGTTCAAAATATAAAAATAATATATTTAATAAATAAGAGAATTTACAATAACTTAAGTATTTACTTTTAAAAGCACTCCAAGAACATCCAAATATTTTTTTTAAATGTGTTGGTGTAGGAGGTTTTGGTATAACATTAGATACTTGTTTCAAAACAGGCAATACCCTAATGAGTTTTGGATCGATTTGTCTTCCATCTAAAAATAGTATTACATATAATATAATTAAATTATCATTGAATCAATTGCATTCATTTAATGAATAAAATTATTAAAATTTCAAATGGAACACATAATACCCAATGTTATTCTTAATGGGGTACGAGGCAAAGCTTTGATTGGTTTAAAGTGATGAATTTCCTGATTTATACTATCATGACTACCAGCACTTTCAGCACTTCCAATCCTCTCTTCACCCTCAATTGTTCCAATACAAATTTCTACACCCAATTTTTTCTTCTTATTACTAAGAATATCTTTGGGTACATGTAGTTCTTCTTTATTCTGTAATCCATATATTTTAGAAGTGGAACCAATGAAATCTCCCTAATTATAAAATTTAAATTTAAATAAAAGTAATAAGATTAGCAATACACTTATTACTACAATAATACAATTTAGTAATACAATATAAATGTAAAGGCTTAGTAAAATAATAAATAATAAAGATTTAATTGAACATTGAATTTAGATAATTCCTTAAAAATTATTTATAAAAAATTATAAAAAACAAATTCTGAAAAATAGTTAAAATTTTCTAACCATAACATATGAACAGGTAGAATTGTTAGATTGACTAACTCTACTTTGATGAGTTACAATTCTAGTAACAGCATTATAAATTGGCACTGGTTTATGAGAACTGAATGTCTCTGAAGAATCTTTATATGCATTTGTTGAATTGCACTTTACACTACATGCATACCTTTCAGATCTAATTTTAGATATTAGAATCAAATTTTGTTTTCTTTTATCAATAGTTTCCTTTGTCTTAACTGACATTTTCTGATTAACTATAGATTTTGATTGATTAACATCAGATTTTGATTTATAAGAATTTAATATTGTAGACTTATTAGAACAATTATGTTTGGTATTTGAATTCTTGAGAACTTCTTGTTTTGCTAATGTTTTAGCTAATAACTGATCCTGTGCCAATTGCATCAATTTATGCTGCTCTTCCTCTTCTTGAATTTTTTGTATAAAAGTCTCACTTGCTAGTCTTTCTTTTTCTTGCTGTCGCCATGTTTCTTCTTTGGCCATTTGAAGTTGAACTTCATATTCTCTTCTAATCTCACCAGCTGCACTGATTATCTTTTTTGTATTAAATTCTTAAATAAAAAAAAGTATTTTTGCTAATACTTAGATTTATCATTTCTTAATGTTTAAAAAATAATTATGTTTTATTTAATAAATATTCATTATAGTATTAAAAAAGTACTTAAATAACACAATAAATTGTCATTTTTCTAAAATATTATGTAATTGAATATTAGTATTTTATAGTTTATTATACTAAAATATAATTTATTGTATTATTTATAATATACTAAATAATTTAATTAATTATATTTAGTATAATAAATTACATTAGTGATAATTATATCGATACCTTGTTTATTATACTAAAATTATATTTGAATTTGTTAAAACAAAAATATGCTATTACAGCTATTTTCGTTAAATTGTTGGTATTTATATTGAAAATTAAATACAAAAATAAATATATATGTTTTTAATTATTATTAGCTTTGAAATATAAAGTCTACATAAACACCATTAATCAAAACAATATTATTTAAATACTTAAAATTCTGGAAGTACTAACACTAAAATGTCTAATTAAATTAATTAAAATAATATCACTAATCCAGAAATGAAATATTCACTGACTTTTTACAATTAAGCTAAAAAACTGAATATTATTTTAAAACTACATACTCTACCCAATAAAGTCAAAAACTTCCTGTATTCTTATATGATATATTCTAGACCGTCATTCTATATAAAAAAAATTCAATATACGGATTCAAGGTAAGGTTAGCCCTTGTTTATTTATCAGTCGCACCCAATCATAAACCATTCATATATATTCTTAAGTATTTCAGGGATGCAATTATCTCTTTCTTTTTTCTTTCTTTGCTAACTTCCAAGGCTCACCAGAATGAAGATCGAGGTCTATACCAACGGCACCGTCACCGCTGCTTTCGCCAACAGCTAATTCAAGCTCGTCAGGAAATCTTCGTCTAATCAGATGCCAGAGTTCAATATTGACTAGGCTTTCGGTTTTAGTAGCGTTACGTAGCCAAGAACCAACCCTCTGTCTGCAAAGCGGGCAGCTGAGACTATTATACTCAACTGTGCCGCGAAGGCAGCGCAGACAGAGGTTATGAGCACAAGGTAGCGTAACCGGCTCACGTAAAATCGTACGACACACCGGGCAAATAACGTCGCGCAGCAACGGTTCTATGGATATACGATTATTGTTTCGGGTGCTGCTAGTGTTACTGTTGTTTGTGCGACCCGAGTTGACGGCAGCCAGTCGCTCAAGTAGCTTTGAAGATCTTTTTAAATATGTCGCCATCTTTCCTCCGCGAACCCTCGAACGTCTCCCGATTTCTCTCTGCATGATAGTTCGCATGTAGTTGTATCTCCGTGTGTATGTACACTATGGCTTGATATGAAGAAAGAGAGCATGTCTGTCTCTCTCAACAGATAGTATCACGCCAATAAAATCTCACCTTTATAAAGGTTAAAATCAACTATCTCACTCGTGCAATTCTGCCAAACACAGTAAAATGAGAAATTATACTATCACTAAAGGTACAAAAACTGTTTTGTAATTTGCATTAAAAAAGCATAGAGTATAAGACATATTAAGATGAATTACATACTAATGTGTATTTCATAATTTACAGTAATTACAGTATTTTCAATAATGAACTTGGTATAATGCACAAATAGAGGTTAAAACTTGAATCTTAAATTTTAATTGTATCTTATTTCGCAATAAAAATAGTATAACATTTTATAATTTTTTGCAAACAATTCAATTTTCGCTTTTATAATCAAATCTGAGTATTAAACTGAGAATTATAAATATGCAAGCAATAAAAGTTTGATTGTATTATTTAATTGTGTAATTTATTTCCACATTACAAAGAATTCAACAATTGGTTTTAATAACGATAAAAAAATTGAATTTTGTATTTTAAAAGTGTATGTACCAAAATTATTAAGTATATTGTAAAAACTGAATATTTCCATTTATACAATTTTTATGGAATATAATTTTAATTAGAATATTACAAAACTATTAAACCTGCAATATTAATTAAAATTTATAAAAGTTATATTTAGAAAATATCGCTAATATTTTCTTAATTTATTTTTTAATGATTGATTAAACATTTGATTGTTTAATTATTTTAATTAAACTGTAAAATTAATAAGGGAAACCATTTAACTATTTATTTTGTTATTGATACTTATATTTTTGTAAAAAAGTATAAAATCATATTTTCTTCAATATTATAAATAAAAAAGTGATTACTAATAATTATTATCTAAATATGTATATGAAAGATAATTTATATTAGATTTATCAAAATAGTATAACATAAGTTAAAAACAAATCTAATGATAAAATATAGAATACATTATCAATAGCTAATTTAATTCTTTATTTCTAAATAACCACAAATTTTAATTCATGAATCAGATTACATTTTAAATGGAAATCAATTTTATTTTTTAATGTTTTATATTGTTTTTTATAAATAATTTAAATTAAAAAATATAGAATATTATAATTATTTAATATAACATAAATAATCTTATTATAAACATAATAAATCTCATGCCCACAACAATGCAGTTAAAATTATAAAAAGTTTACCAATATAATATTTTTATAAATTTAAAATTAAAACATTTAATTATAGTTTTATTACACTGTAACTTTTAATAAATGAATTTTAATTTGATTATGCACTTTATATATTTACATATACTTTTATCTTTCATGTAAATCTATCAAAACCAATTATAAATGTTTTCCATATTCTTAATACATGTTTTTTATTATAAAAATCCAAAAATTATTAATATTGTAACTTTAGTTCTCAATTACTTTTATTTTACTCATGAACAAATATTTGAAATCAACCATTAATCATTTCAATGTTATACATGCAATATTGATATTCAAAACAACTTTATATTTTGAAGCTTATGAATATTATAATATTTACTTAAAATTAAAAATATAACTTCAAAACTTTACTGTACAATAAAGGGATATATCGTAAGTTAGAGTAAGAGTAAATATGCCTTTATACAGTTTAAAAGAAATAAAATTTTCCTGAAAATTCAATCTTGAAAATCAGCCATCATAAACTTTAGATTTATTCCTTTAAGATTTCTGTCAGTCCAGTCATTAAACTTACATGATAAATTATCAGTCATGTAATGACGCCAATCACCCACTTTACCTTTACGAATAAATTTAGTGTTGGGATCATTTGAACAGACATTTTTTTGTGCCAATATTTGTTCAAAGTTTATTGAAGGGTTAGCTGCCATTTTTGAAAATGATAAGTGATCAGTCAATTGAATGATTTGATTATCTGTTAATTTTTTTTTTAAAAATTTTGCTGTTTCCTTTATAGCTGCTTCTTGATCCTTAACAAATAAAGCCTTTAATAATTACTGAAAATAGGTATTCATATTTTGATTCGATATATAAATTATGAAATAGATAAATGCATATAAAAATGATAAAATCTGTTATAAATACATAATTGTATGTGGACATAGATTTTCAAATATATAATATCATATCTTAGGTTATATATTTATATAGGGTATATAAAGTTATATATTTCAAATATATAACTGATATACATTTAATTTTTGATGTGTGAAAGTGTAAAACAGTGTTTTTTTATCATGTTATTGATATAAATTATTAATATTATTACTGTAAATATTAAATAATTTTTGAGCTTTAAATAAAATAAATATTTTATTATATTATTTTAAATATATATATTTTTTTTTTCTTTTATCTCAAATTATAATATAAATAATCATCAACACCATTAAATTTATATTTTTTTGTATGTTGCACAATAATTTTGAATAGCATATATGAATATATTGTTAAATTTATTAATATACTACAGCATATATAATATTAATAATATATACATCATAATATCATACAAATATTATCAACTTATATCTATTATAAAGTTTAATATTGGCTTATGTAGAACATATAACAAGTAAATATCTATTCCATACAGTTAAACTTTTACTTTGTAATTATAAAATCAATATTATTCATAAATTTAAATTTTTTATTGTTACATTTAATTATATTTTTACTAAGTTTAAATTAATGAATTTAATAAATTTATATTACTTTTTTCATTTCTTCATAAGTAAGAAAAAGAATATTTTCTTGATGACGACGTTCCCAAAAAGGTAAAACATGACTCCAAAAAGGTCCTGGTGGAGCTACAAAATTTCGAATTTAAATTAATAGAATATTTATATATATTTAAATGTAAAATCTTGTTATTAAAATAATCATCGCATGTTTAATATATATAAATACCATTATCTGCTAACATTAGTTCAGCAAATTCTTCAAAAGATCCATGAAAATCATGAAAAAGTCTACAATAATGAAAAAAACTTACACACATGTCCTTTGGATTTCTCGTAATGTAGATTATCTGGAAATCAAAATATATAATCAATTTTTATCTGCTTATAATAAAACGAAAATAATAGTTTTTTCTTTAATATTTTTCAATATTATAATTAAATTTTTTAAGTATAATCTATATTTACTTTAATAAAAATATTCAATATTAATCCAATAATACACAGATTTTAAATAATTAAATAAATAAATTATAAAGAAAATTGGTGTGAAACACTATCAAGATTATCAAAATTAATGAAATCAATACTATTTTACAAGTGAAAGTGTATTTGAAAGCAATTATGATACCTTTGGTTTCTTCTCAAAAAGTTGTTTTGGAAGTAAATCTAACGGCAAGTGAGTTTTTATATATCGTGGACTGGGTAACTTTTCTACCGTCTCAACAGACTCTCCTAGTTTTGAAAACCATTCAACAAATGATCCATTAACCATTAGAGCAGATGATCTAAATATTCAATAATTTTTATAAATTAATATTGAATTGTTATACTAAATAATTATGTATATACAATTTACTCTAAAAGAGGACTTCTTAGTACAAAATGAGTTTTTCGAGCTTCTTCAAAATTCAAATCATTGCCAATTAACCATGCCATTTCCTGTACCCAATGGCTTCCTACGATAGAACAGAAATATATTTTATTAGCATTAATTGATACTAGGGCTTATACAATATCATTTTGAGTAATATATACAATATAACTGAAAAATAAGTTAAATTTCTTAAGCATAAACAATATCCATAAAAAGTGCAAATATTTTATTAATATAACTATCTAATAAATGATGAATTTTGTATTGTTAATCCATAATTTGTATAATGTTTGAAAAAAACTAAGTATACTAAAAAACTAAAAACATTTTGTAAATTCTGATGTATCTAAAATCTAAATATTAAAAAATTATTTTTCAATTGTTTTTTTCAAAAACAATTCGTATAAAGAAAAAAGTATTACAAACAAAATTATAAAAACAGTTATTAAACTTTACCACTATAAATTATAGACTATAAAATGTAATTTTTAATTATTTTGTTTTAATGAATAACTTTTTATGTGTTCTTTATATTTAAAAAATAATGAGAGTATATATTGAAGAAATTGTTATAGTGTTTTTGAATATATCTTTCCAAATTTTTCAAATTTTTAAACAGATGTATTCTAATTTTTTAATTATTCTATTTGAAAACCAATAAGCCCTAGTTCCATATTAATGCTTTCAACTTATATTAAGTTATTGCTTGAATTTAAAAAAAAAGTTAAGTTAATGGAAATGTTGTTTTTTACATTTACTGTTGTATTAAATACTATTAAGATTTTAAAATATTTCATACAAATTTTGTATTATAAATTTTTTAAAAATAAAAATACTATTTTTTTATAAAAAGTATGTAAGTATACAAAATTGGGAGCCATCTAAAAGTTATCACTATTGTCATACCTGTTCTGGGATAAGACACCAACCAGACATCACTATCACGTACTTCCAAGTCACGTATTTTTTGCCCAATAAAAACATAATTTGGTGGTAGTAAACAGTTTCCAGGATTAACACGTAAAAAACTATATTTTACACCGAACATCTTGTCCAGCTTTTGCCCTAATAAATCTTCTACTGTTGAATATGAAATTGCCATTTTTAATTCTTTCTATCTCTGATTCGTCGATTGCCTCACAATACTTAAGAAAAAAAAAACAAATAAAAAAAATAATATACGTGTTAAAGAGAAAATAAGTTTTTATTTAGATGTTAATAATGCAAGTGCACAGAACAGAATGACGATTGAACTTCATTGCATCTTTTCACTTTAATTAAGTTCAGACTTGGTCGATTCGTTACCACTTTTTCTTTTCTTTTCTCTTTTATTGGGCCTACCGCGCAACTTTCATTCAGTATATACATGTATTAATTAAGGATTATTAGTATACTTCAAAATGTTGCAGTATCATATATTTATTTACCTCCTATATTTAATTATATCCGTATCACGATAGTTATCGTTATTTAATATATCTATTTAAAATATATTTAAAGAGTAACATTAACAATAAAAATATTTGAAAGTTATGAAAAGAATGGCATGAATATTTGTTAAAAAAAAAAATGAAATAAGATTGATTTTCGAGATATTTTCATAATATTAAATTGAAAATGTATATTCCAAGATTATGAAAAAATTATTAGTAATTATCTTCCTTTTTATTTATTTATTAATTTGAGTTTCTAATTTTTTTTTTCGATCATAATTTATCGGATAATTTAGTAAAATATTAATGGTACCTTCTCTCTCTTGCATGCATACATCACGCGCGCGCGCGCGCGCGCACACGCATTTATTCATTACAAATTATTATAAAATACTAATTAAATAATAATTAAATGACAAATAATAAGCATATATTATAAATATTTAGAAATTCAATAATTATAAAAACAACTTTTATTTCTATAAATTGAAAAATATAGAATCAATTTTTAACGAATACTACTTAATATATACATAATTTTATAATACACGATACACTCCGCTTGGATTAGTTAACTCTAGTTGAATTAGTGTTGAGACTTTTTACCTATTTTAATAAAAACTTTTAGTAAATAAAGAACAATATATTATTTATATTATTTTTTTTGACGAATTGAAAATACTAAAAATTTATACCGTTTAAATTTGTAATAATAATTTGTTTTATAACTTAATTAATAACAATTATATATAAAAACTTCGAAATCGTATTAAATTTTCAGTATAAATGAAATTTTAATTGTAAATAATACATATTAATTTACATAACTTCAAATTATCTGATGTAAAGAAAGAATTATTAAATATAAATAAATATTATATATGATATGTATAAAAGTATATTACATTATATAAATAAATATAAATAAATAATATTTGCATACAACGTAAGCATATTATTTTTTCTGATATGACTTTTTTTATAAAATATAATATTTTTCTGGTTTCAATTATTATACATTAATTAATTAAATTTTAAAAAATTGATACTATATTTAAAATATTATAATATATATTATACTATATAATACTATAATAATAATAAACAATAGATACATAAATTTCTTTATAATTTAATTGTATTAAAAGTACATATTAAAAATAAAATCTTAACTAAACATTCTAGTTAAAAAATTTAGATGTTCCAATTAATTATTAATTTCCTGAAAATAAAATTTGTGAAAAAATTGTAACAATAAAAGATAATTGTATCAATAAAAAATCTGTACACAATAAATATTTTATATTAATCAATCTTATTTATCATGATTTATTTTAGCTTAATATAAATCTATAATTTAAAAAAAGAAATTTTTTTAATGAGTATTTTTTTCTAAATTTTTGTAATAGTTATAAAGTATATCATTTATGAAAATATAATTGAATGTATGTTTGTTTTATTGATAAGATGTAAATTATAATATATTCTAATATATTATTCTAATAAATTATAATATATTCTAATATATTATAATTATTTATAGTTAATCAATCGTATTTATTATTTTATAACAACAAATTTAGTTTAACTTGATCATATTCACAAATCGTTGAAGAATTCATCAATCATGAGCCATATGCAAATAATAAGAAATTTTTTTTTTAACCACTCTAACTAAATGATTTTAATTATTAGTAATGCATAATTAAGCTTTAGTGTATCATATTTAATGATAATTGTCCAAAATAAACAACCAAATTTAAAATTCTAAAATAAATTTACAATGAAATTAATGCACGTGATTATCTGTCTTAATGTCGTACAATTTTTTAATATTTGCAATTGAAGATCTAATAACAATCATAGTAATAAACATATGGAAAGTATATTAAGACTATACTAGATATAATTAGTTATATATGACATAAAGTCGCTTATGGTAAAGGCTGCACTTAAATTTCACTCTTGAGAGAAAGTACAATCAGCCTATTGACCCCTTTGTCCTTCTTTCAACACCTTTCTTTTCCATCAACTCTCTCTCTCTCTCTCTCCCTCCCACTCTCTCCCTCCCTCTCTCTCCCTCTCCCTGTATATATATAAATATATATGTATATATGGATCCTGAAAGATATACTTATTCTTTCCTAAATTACAAATTACAGCTGAATGCCAGACGCTCATTGAAGCTATCAGTATTTGTAATACTATATCAAAAATAGTAAGTATAATACAAATATAACAATGTGTAAATATTTAGATACATATAATTACAGATTTATGTTTATTGTTTATTTACGTATGTTAAAGTTTAACTATATTTTACAACCTGAATATCTATCATTTTTTATACAAATAGTTTGCAAATAAAATAATACTTTAATAACGATTTTACAAACTGTATATTATTAAATAATTCCTACAGCCTCTAAATTTTTAATGATTAAAAATATAAATAACTGATAATTTCTTATTAATATTAATTAATTTTTATTGACGTTTTTAATTGACTGCATTTATTAGTAGAATTTTACATATTCTACATTTTTTACATAGAAAAAATTATGAATTTAAAGTTTATAGCAAATAATTAATTTAATATAAAAATATTATACGTACAATAAAATCAAACAAATGCAATGATTACATTAAAAATTTATAATTAATATTTCAAAATAAATTATAATTTATTGTAAATTTTACCTTAATATACATTTAATTGATTTTTTATTATTAATCGAGTTCTATTTTAAATAATTATAATATTAATAAAACATGAAATAAAATTCAATTATATATATAGATATATGAGATATATATACTATGTATTTGTACTATATATATATATGTAAATAACATTTCATAAAAATTAGGAAGATAACATAAGCATTGTAACAAATTTAGAAGTTGTTGAAAAGTAATAATTTAAAAATGTTAAATAAAAAATTGTGTTAAAAAACTAAGAAATGATTCTTACTTTTAAATTATATGTTATTTATTTTACAAACTAAAGTTTTTCATGTTTGTTTAAATTTATAATATAATGTATAATATTTACAATAAAAATATAATTTACGTTAATAACATAGTATAAATAAATAATAAAAATATTAAAGTTTAATTAAAGAAAAATATCAATCTATATATATTAATAATAACAAAATAGTATAATATTCAATACTGTCTTGAAAGCATAGTCTCTTAATTTCTAAAAATGTCATTTAACATAAAATATATCCAGTATATACATATTTTTTTACATTTAAATATTCAATATATAAAAATATAAATATATAAGTAAAATCCTCAATATGTAAAAAAAATTTATTACACTTTAATTCCTAAGAAATAAAAGCTTAGACTTTAATATTATTTAAATAATTTTTTATGTCTTAAATTTTGTTATTGTTGACACGTTTAATTAATATTTAATATCAAATCGTTATTATAAAATTCATAATAATTTTAAGAAATTTATTTAAGAATAATAATGTTAATGAATTTGTTTAAATACTAAAAAGAAATTTACATTTTTTCAATAATTCAATGAAATAAAATTCGATCTCAAAATAACATGTTAAAATCTAATGCGATTAATGATACGAAATAAAAATCTTTTTTTTTTAATTAATTTCAAAATTATTTATTTTAATAACTAAGTTTTATAGTTAGAAGTGTAATATATTTAACAATAGAAAATTTTATTATTAATTTAATTTGATATTTGTATATGATATATCATTCAGCATTTTAAAGTTAGTTTATTAATATTTATTAAACGACATTTTTCATTGTATTACAAACAAATTTAAACTTAATAAATAGAAAATAAACAAAATGAAAATATAAAAGTATTTTATTACGAAACCCCAACAGTACATGAATAATATTTAATTAAACTAGCAAAAAAAAAACTTATATTTCGTTCCCATTTTTAAATGTGGGACAAAATTACGTAATTCATTAATTCAGTTATATCATTGGCTTCTATCTATGCATTGTTAAAGGTATGAACAAATTGAGGCTAATTCATATTTATACAATGAAAAATAAATATAACTTTAAATTTTAGTCAATACATAATTTATATATTTTATTTTAATCACTTTGAAAATTATTAACTGTTATACTTATTAGTATATGCACATATTATTATATTATACGCATATGCGTACCTCCCACTATTATGACACTCGTATTTTACACATTCCCATACAATTTATTATATGGATCTTTTGATTCTTATGCAGATATACAAATATGAAGTTTTTTAGGCTACAGTACGTCTATATAAATAATTCGTGTTAAGAATAACTTAACCCCTTATGAAAGACAAATCGGGAGAAAGAAAAAATATTTAATAACTGTAATTAAAAAAAATCTGTTGGCAAAAATTAGAAAACATGAATAAATACTTAAACAATCAGGTATAGTATTTTGATTATTTGATAAATCATACTGTAATAAAAATAATTACAAATTTTTAGATAATAAAAAAATACAAAACAACGCTTTTTTCATTTACACAAGTGTATAACTGTATTATAAAAAATGTTAAGTAATAAAAAGATATAAAGATAAATATAAAAATGGCTAATCTTATTATTTTATCTGAAAAATTGTAATAATGTTTCTAAAAAAAAAAATTATTTATTAATTAAATATCTAAAGAGTTAAATGTATTTTTTTAAAGCAAATAATAAATATGTCGTTACTTCTATGGTTCAATCTTTCTATCTATTACAGTTTTATCTTTCTATCTATGAAAAAGATAGAATGTACAACATATTCAGACAATTCAGATGTCAGCAATGTTAATTTGTAGAAAGTTTGTGAAATGTTTTATGCAAAATCAAACTATATCAATTGAAACCTACATAAATTCTTAACATCACAAAAAGAATTTTATTTATAATAATATATCCGAGAATGAATTTGTGACAAGTTTATAAATTTATATAAATGGAACTTCCACAGCATTCTAAAGGTTAGAATTTTCATTTAATAAAATAATACACACACATATATATATATATATATATATATATTAGCTCTTAAAAATTAAAAAATTTTTAAATATTTTAAACATTTTTACCTTTTTCTAAATTATTATTCCTCCGTCATTGTATTATTTAAAAATTTCAGGAATACTTAAGATATATATTTTTTCTTTCCTATTTTGAAACTACAAAAATAATACATAGTTTTATAAAAAATAATTAATAATTTATGTTTTTCTTATCAGTATTTACTATATAAATAATTATAACTTGCTTTTACTATTTTAATATATTTAATCTTCACCATGGCATAGAATTATTTTATATATTAAATAGATATTTAAAAATTCATTGTTACATTAAAGTATAATGTAATGTATAAATGTAATGTACAACATTTATTGAATAATAGTAATAATAAATTATGTATTAAATTAAGAAAAAACTAGAATCTAATTTAATGACATTTTACTGAACTAATTTTTATGATCAAATCTAAAATATTCAAAATTGTCTTAATTAGATTTTATTATAATCAATACTTATATTGTTATAGTTATAAAACATCATGATATTAATACATCATTGTATGACAGTTTTATGGGTTTTTATATTTATGAGTTTTGTAAATATTTTAAATACAAAATGTATTAAAGCATAAATAAAAAATCTTGATTATAATTTATAAATCTTTTACAATATATAATTATTTAAAAATGAACAGTAAAATTAATTTTTCTTAATATATTCAATTGTTAATAAACTCAATTGTTTAATGAATATTTTAAAATATAACAATTCAAAATGAATTTTTTTTAATTCAATTTTAAATTCAAAATAGAAATTCAATGTGATGTTTATTTTAAAAATGTTTAAAATTAGAGTTTTTAACAATAAACATGATCTAATTCAATGAAACTGAAAATTGAAATCACTTATAAACAGTTGTAATTTATAACGAATGCTTATTATTTTAATTAATTAGTACCTTTATACTTTTAAGAACAAAGTTTTATTAACTTTTTTTTTATTAAATATACTTATTTCCTCTGACATCTGTTAATAATTGTATATGTTAGAAATGAATATTTCTTTTTGATATGTACTTTTGATTTCTAGTTTTTTTTAATCAAATAATATACAAATGTATAATCTACTAGAAAAAAATTCACTGACAGATATCCCTGTAATAGTATCCCTGTAATAATATTCACAGTTTTCTTCTCATTTTTTTTCGTTCCATGTTACAGCGTCGCTTAGTTAATCGTAGTTCTAATTAAAGTTTTTATGCATTAATTATTTAAAATATATAAATTTTGACTTGATCTTGAATACGTTGTAATAATTATTTTTACTTTAAATGATTTTCAGATAGTTAATCAGTAATTAGTATTGTAATATAAACAATTTTAATGTAAACAAAATTGATGTTTTATAAAGAATTATTTTTATTGAATATTTAAAATTAGCGTTAAATGATAAAATATTACTAATAAACATTTTATAAATAATTAGTTTTTAAATATATTAGTTAATTTTACTTTATTTTACTTTATTTACTGTAATATGAAATATTTTTTATGTTATTTTTATAATAAATATTTTTATTTATATTACGAAGTAATTTTTTAATATGAAGCAAGTTATGTATTCTTTATTTATTTATAAAAAATTGATAAGAATTTATGGACTAATATTAACAATACATTTTATTATTAATTTATATGTTTTATAACTAATTGAAAAATAAGTTTGTGTATGAAAATATTAAATATGAATATATAAAAATATGAAAATATATAAAATATGAAAATATAAAATATGAAAATATTCTATTCTAAAACTTAAAAACTATTCTATTCTTTTAATTTTTCATGATAACTTATTTTATATTTAAAAATTTAAAATGTTAATAATTTTAATGTGACATATAAATCAATTCAAATATATTTTAATATGATTAAGATTTTATTTGATGAAATACTGTAATATCAAATGTTTACTTATCATAAATTTCAATATATCAATTCATCTAAGATAATTTAATATTTTAACACTTTAATAACACGACGTATTCATCTGATAATTTTCTAAATTTTACACAAATCTTCTTTCGGTATTATTTAAATACAATTAATATAAATAATACATTCATATAATAGTTACAACTATTAGATTATATTATTTATGATTCAAAAATTTTAACCAGTGTGATTAAATTAATAATTTAAGTTGAATTTAAATGTATAACTCTACTTGATAAATTATTTAAAATTAAAAATTATAATTAATTATCTTGAGAAAATATTGTTTTTAAATTTGGTTAAATAACAATATCTCCCATAGACTTTATAAATTAATATGTAATAAACATCCGTACTTATTAATTATTTATATTTTACGTGATTATTAATTATATTTTTATTATTTCAATTATAATTTTTTTATTCTATTTATTTCACGATAATAAATAAATATTATTATTTTATTCTGAATAGCATACACTATTTATATAACAGACATAAACATTATTTTATAATACATATTTATAAAATTTTTTTTCTATAAATAAATTATTAAGACATTTACTGTAATTTTTTAAAATACAGAAAGAAGTAGTTTCTAAAAGAACTTACTTTCATTGGAATACAATGTGGTTCAAAAGTCCAGAGATCAATACTTCCATAGATTATTTATTTCATGATCTTATTAAAGAATGTGATGATGAAACACCAGGTGCCAAGTTGTCAAATAATTTGCAGTATCGATTGGAAAAACACAAGCCAGAGGATTTAAAAGAACTGGTTAGTCGTGAAATTGAAGGATGTGCTCCTCTTTTTATAGCTTGTAAAAGGGGTCATGTAGATATTGTGGACTATTTAATAAAAGTTTGTCATGCAGATATAGAACAAACAGGTGTCTATGAAGTACCAGAAGATCGTTCAGTTCACATTGTTACACCTCTCTGGTGTGCAGCTGTATCAGGAAAGCTGCGTATTTTAAAATATCTGGTTTCTCAAGGAGCTGAAATAAACACTGTGTCCGATACAGGCTCTACACCTGTTAGATCTGCTTGCTATATGACTCATGTTGGTAAGATATTGATTGCTCTTTAATTTTGATTGAAGAAAAAGCTACCTAAATCTACGTTTACTTTAATTAGAACTACAGTTAATAATTAGATAGATATATTATAAATTCTTTAAATGTATTAAAAAATTTAAACTTAGAAAAGGTTATATATTTTTATAGTAAATTACTTCAATATTTATTTTAAATGACATTGATAAATAAATTTAAACTTGAGCCAAGATTTTTATGCCAAGATAAGTCTAGGTCAATATTTAATTTTCAACATTATGTTGTAACGTTTTTTTAAATTTAATACTATATTTAAAAAAAAAATTTAATATTAAATTGGTATTTAAAAATTATTATAAAATCTATTTAATTTTTGTTAAAAATGTATTCATTAGCTTATGTTTTCAGATATTGTTTCCTATTTAGTAGAAAATGGTGCAGATATTTTAAAAGCAAATTACAATGGTGGAACTTGTTTAATCAATTCTGTACAGAGCTTGGAGCTCTGTTCGTTGCTTCTTAAGCATGGAGCTGATGTCAATGCCACAGATATACAAAGTAAAACTGCTTTGCATTATGCTATTCAAGAGCATAGATTTGAAACAACAAAACTTTTATTAAATCACAATGCTAATCCTCATTTGAGATCTAGATATAATGATGATGCACTGCAAACAGCATGTCTTAAGGGCGCAACACAAATTTTTGATGATCTAAGTAAATGTTCATACTGCTATTTGTTTTAATTAATAGATGATTTTCAGATAACTGTTTATTTGACATAAATTGTTTGTTATTTCATTGTGAAAAAATAATTTAATTGATGGCAATGTTGAATATTTGTAACAAAATAATGCAATGCAAATAGATTCAATGATAATTATGATTTTATTCTGATTAATGTCTGCTTGAATAATTGAACAATAAATATTTTAGATTTATACAAATTAGACAAGTCTAATCTAGATCAGTAGACTTGATTACTTTTTTATATTATTAATAAAAAATGTATTCATAATTCAATCTATGAGAATCCATTGAAATAAATTTTATTTAGAACTTGTATTACTTCTTAAAACATTTTCTCATTTTTGACTAATATCTAAATAATTCGATAATCTATGAAAATTATATTTAACATATGTAGTCGAGTATGTAAGTCGACGTACAAAATATATAAATAAAATACAAAGCATACAGTAATGAATAAATAAATTCTTTCTTTAGTTGAGAAAATAAAAGAATATTCGCCGGAACAATTAGCAGATGCACACGAACTCATTGGCTCAACATTTTTCGATGAGCATAGTGACACACATATGGCGTTTGAGTATTGGCGTAGGGCTTTGGTGATTCGCAGTGTTAATGAGATAGATGGTATACCACTTCCAAAGAGATCAATGTACCCAAAAAGAGGTAGTTTCAGTAATGTAACCGAGTTCACATCTTTAGAAGAACTAAACATTATAATGTTGGATCTTGATGCTATACGCATTCAAAGTTTATTAATATGTGAAAGAATTCTTGGGCCATACCACAAAGATACACTGTTTAGGTTAATGTATAGGGGAGCCTCCTATGCTGATGCCTTACGGTATATATATATATATATATATTGTATTTTATTATTTAATAAATTTAAAAATACATTAATACTATTAATCTAAATATTAATGATTTCAAACACTATTTTAAAAAATAATAAATAATTAATTTTCTTAAAATTATTTTGAACTTTATATTGTTTCTAAAAATAATGTTTTAATTTTATTGATCAATATTGATAGTTATTAATTAATTAATTATATTGTATTTGTTATTTATATTGTTTTAATTTTAATATAAATATATTTAAAACATCAATACGTTTATTTTTATATGTTAAAAATAATAAAAGTATAATTATTATAGAATTATAAAGTTATATATAAATATATATAAAATAAATAATTTAAATTAAATTGAAACTAAATAATTTTTCAGTTATCAGTATTGTATAGATATGTGGAGACGTGTTTTAGAAATTCGTGTCGATAAAGATTCCGTAAGTTCAGCTGTTATTCTTTTTGTATATTCAAACAGAATATATTTTTGTGCATTCAAATTATTGTTGAAATTAAACATAAATGTTTGCAGATGTTTGTATGCACTATCAATAAATTATATTAACTTAGAAAATAATCTCATAACAATGTTTTAAAAATATTTTAAATAATATAATATTATCAATAACGTTATTAAAAATAAAATATACAAAATTTTTCTATTTCTAAACAAATGAATCAATTTAGTTCATAAACTCTGAAATTTGATATATAATTTATAACCACCATTATAATAATTCGAACTTTCCATATTTTTCATTATATATTTCTTACAATAAGAATTTTTTAAATATATTTATAATGTACACATATATAAATTATATTGTAGCATAAAATGAAATATTTATTAATTTATAAAAGAAATTTTCAAAATTACTATTGCAATTAATTTATTTTTACTTTTATTGAAATTGTGAAAATATTAGTATTACCATAACTATTATTATTTGCTTACCAATTATAAATACTTTAAAAGTATTTATGTTAATGAATTAAAAAATGAATTATTCACACGTTTTTTTAATTAGATTTTGAGTAGGATTGATTTAGTTTTTTATAAAAAATCTGAAATCAAATAGTATACAAATTGTGGTTAAAGATAATTTATTAAGAGTTAAGCTACTCTATATTTATAATAATATAAATATAATATACTTTCCAAATAAGTTACTAATATTGTAGATTTTATATACCGATACATGCTTTACTGCTCAAGCCCTTGTCCGACTTATGGTTGATTTAAATGAAAAAACTCTAGAATTAGATAGAAATCGAGAGAACCAAGAACCAAGATTTTGTGACGTTGTGGAAATATTCAAATTACTCACCAATCAACTTACCGAAGCTAAACAATTACTTGAGGTATACTAAATAATGAAACAATAACATTTTTATTATCTGCAATATCATTTCTAATGCAAAAAATTAAAAATTAAATTAAATTTCTATTTTATATTTATTTTAAAAGCAACGTCCAGTACATCAAAGACAACGAGACAGTTTTGATAGTATTTTAAAATGTATTGCCTACTTAATATACTTACTTATTAAGACAGCACAATCAAGCGAAGAAATAATGGAAATGCGACAGTTAGTGTACAATTTAGTCAGAATAAATCCTAGAGCATCTTTAACAGAAGATACTCTTTTACATCTATGTGTCTCAAGTTTAACTGCAATTCATTCAAGTTACTTTAATGTTGAAGATGTTATAGTAAGTTAATGTCTATGCTCTTAATTTAAAAACGATTACAAAATAATTACTATTACAATATTATCAATTATGTTTATTGTTATTTTCTTAAGGCAATATTAACTATTTGACTATCAATAAAAGAGATAAATAAAAGACATCAATAATTTAATTGTTTTTAAATTATAAATATAGATTATGAAAATTAATTTCTTAAATAAGGTATTAATCAACAGTTTCATGATTTTATTTAGGACTATTAATTTGAATTACTTTATACTTTTTGGAAATAACATTAAAATTTCAAATGAGAAAGTTAATAAATTACATATCATATTTTGCTATATTAAAAATATGATAGAATTACAAATCATATGTATATATATTTCACTATAATAAATTGTAATTATTCTAAAATAAGCTATATTTAATAAGTTCGTCATTTACATTAAACATAAAATAAATTATAATTATAACAATAAATTTTATTTTACCATAGTATTTAAATTTCGTTAATATGGAATTTTTAATTTAATTAATTTGTAATTTATTTATGTAAATTTCAGAATATATTTCCTCACTATGAAGCAGTAAAACTTCTTCTAGAATGTGGAGCTCATGTTAATGCTCGTAATAGATTGCGATCTACACCTTTACATGTAGCAAGTAGTACATGCAATTTTCAAAATTCGGTAGGTAAATTTAATAAACATTAAGAAAAAGCTAAAAAAATTTCGATTTAAAAACTTTAAGAGTAAATATATTTTTAATCATTAAAATTCTAAAAATAAGAAAATGTGTTTATATTAAAAAGGTTGATATTTTTATGAATAAATTTTAAGAATCTACTAACATAGATTTTTCTTGATGTTTAATTATTTTAAATTAAAATTTTTAAATACAATAAAATGAATAAAATTAAATAAAAGATGCATTTCTAATTTAAAAAAAAGTGTTTTCTATAATTAAGCAGCTTTTAATTTTTCTAATAATAAAAAATTTTTTAAATATTAATAATACTATTAATCATTAATATTTATAATAGTAATGAAATCTTTTGAAATACAAAAAATAATAATAAATTAAAGGGTGCTACTCTGAAAATATTGATGAAAAAATATTAATAACTATTACCATTTTTTTTACAGTTGATAAAGCTACTGTTAGATTTTGGTGCACATGTTGATGTTCCTAATAAGATAGGGGACACTCCAGCTCGCTTAATATCTTCAAACACTGTAAACAATATCAATCTTGTTAACTATATAACACTTCGGTGCCATGCTGCTCAAGCTATTTGCAAATATGGTCTTAAGAGCAAAGAACTTCCTATTACATTACATCATTTTCTTGAATCTCATAGAAAATAATATGTGTGTACATGTGTTATTTAAAAATTCATAATTTTTTTATGTTTAGTAGTTTAAATAACGTTAATTTTTATTCATTTGCATATTTGACTTATTTCCAGGGTTTAAAATTAAAATATTTAAAACTATTTTTGTTACTCAACTAGAGTAGAGATAAATTGATGTTACAAATAGTAAAGAACAAATAAATAGACTAACTTGATTATTTAGAATATTTTTTAAATTATATTATTACAGCTGTGTACAATGTATAAAATAAAAAAGCATGATGTTTTAGTTTTAAACCTTCTATATTTTTATTTTTAATTTGTTTCTTATAAATAGAATTTTAAGCATAAAATATAACCTCTTCTATTTCAACTCCAAAATGGATATAGGTAAATGCAAGTATAAAAAAATTAAATTTTTAAATTTTGTATATCTAATTTTAATTAAAAGGCTGCAAAATATGACAAACTTAGCAAAGTTTGTACATGGTGATTAAATATAAGTCTTGTATTGGAGTGGAAATATTTTTTAAATGTGTAACTTTTAAAAACTATATAAAGAAAAACTTGGGAAGAACAAGTAAAGAAGAATAAAATACAAAATATAGTATTGAATAAATAATAATGAATTATTAATGATTTAAACATATTGGTAAAAAAATAGATGATGCATTTAGTATGTAAATATTGTGAAGTATAAACAATATTGTTTTTAGCTTCTATTATTGCAATAGCTATAATGATAATGATAACGATTTGTACAAACAATGATGTAGTGGTGGCGTCGATGGTGGTGGTAATTATAAGGAAGAGACGGAAAAGTTGGTGGATGATAATACAATAATATTCAATAGGATATCTAATCAATCATAACTTTTTAAGTAAAATACATCAAAAAATACAAAGCAAAAAGTAGTTGAGAACAATCAGAAGTAGTAAATTCTTAAAACAAAAAGCTTTTTTCATTTATATATTAGAATCATCTTATATTGTGGGTGAAGGTTGAAAATTTTATTCAACAAACACGTTTTCATAGAATTAGATTGAAATTGGCATATTGATTATCTTCTCTAGCAATCACTAGCAATATTTAAAATACCAGTTTTTAAACCAATTGAATAATTTAATTAAACTTAATTAAAATTTATCAATGTCATTTATTTAGTTATATTATAATATTTACATTCAATAAATTTATTTTGATTCATAGATAAATCAAGATCAACTTAATATAATGCTTTTATTATTTAAATCTTCAAAAGGTAAGTAGAATAAAAACGATTATGAACTTAAGATACTTTTTAAATTGAAATATTCAAATATTGATTATTATAAATTTGACTTAGTTGAAAATAAAACTAAAATTTAATTTAGAGTTACATGCTTTTTAAATTAAACTATTCAATATGGATTAACTTTTCATGTGAGATTTCAACTTGAAGCTAAATACATAAAAGAAAATAAATTGAGAATTTCTTACTATTTTATAACTTTTGACATGTAAATATTATAAAATATAAATACATTTTATTTTCTGCTCAATAAACATTCATTACAGAATTTTTTATATTCATAAATCGTTATAAAAATTAAACTATAAAAAACTAACCATATTATTGTATCATTAATATACTTGTTAAAAATATTATTATATAACTAAGACTTATTGAAGTAGCAATATTTTTAGAGTAGGCGTCAACTACATGAATTTTCCACCCCATATTTGCATGAGTAAAAGAATTGTAATAAACAATATCTGGCCAGGTAAAATTTGGGGTTACTTCCAATATTCCTGCATCTCCTGCAAATATATTTTATTATGTAATGTAGGCATGTATATTATTAAGTTAAATTTCTGAATACAAGTCATATTTATTTTGACATTTACAAATTTTAGAAATATAATAATTTATTGAATGATTTTCTATTAAATTCGTTATTTCGTACTTAAACCAATGAAAACCATAAATGTATTATTATCTACTAAATAAAAATGTTTTATATTGTTATTATTAATTATATTATCAAGTCATATAATATTTTATAGATATTTTATGTTTGCAAAATTTAAATAAAAGTGGGTTCTAATTTACATTTAGAAAATGAGAAAAATTTTATTTTCCAGTACATACTTTATGGCAAATGCATTACTTAAAAATAAGCTATATATTTAGAATAGTTTCACATTTTGTGTTATAAACTTGCAGTTATATATATTTTGTTATTAATTTTTTATATATTTTTAAAATAATTATAGCTAATATTTTATTATCTAGACTTCAAGAAAATATTTCTTTTTAATTTCTATGTAGGTAATGTAAATGCAAATTATTAATTAAATTTTTTAATTATACTTGAAGAATATACAATAAATATTGAGATCAAATTCGATATTAGTTTTTTGCTAAGTAAATTTGTACCCTTTTTGTAGTTTAAGTTATTTTCTGCTATTAACAAAAAATTGATTAGTGATTTAAATTCAATAAATATTTATGTTACATTTGGTAACAAAAATAAAAATTTAAAGATACTATATAGTTTAATCTTAAATTATTTTAAGTACCTTTGATTAAATTTTTCAAATATGTTGAATAATTTAAATAGTTGTAATTGCATTAAAAGGGCAGTTTTTAATAAATAAGTTATTTATTTGTACATATTATTTTCAATATTTGTTATTTACAATATAAATACTTTTATACTTAATTTGGTGGGAGTAAAAAAATTATACATCTTTTATTAAATTGCAGATAATTTAAAAATTGAAATTGTATTTATTTTATAAATTAAAGTTTTTGCACTATCTACGAAAATTACGATTATATTTAACTAAAACTATGATAAATGAATTTTATAATAAATTATAATAATTATAATAAAAAATATTCACCAGGTTCACACAAGTGAATCAAAGTTCTGTTGAATTTTTGAAAGGTTGGAAAATCATCATCAAGTCTTCTATCTTGAATACTATGATTACTTAAACATAATGGTCCAACTGAAAATTTATTATAAAATTTAATAAAAATTGAGATTTATTTTATTTTTATACATTAAAACTTTTCATATATTCAAAAGAATTAATTGTATAATTGCTTATATAATTAATGAATTACAATAAGAAGTATTTAAAACTTCAACATTTAATTCATAAGATAATTTCTTATTATTTTATAGGACAAACAAATAACTAAAAACATATTCCAATAAAATTAAGAAGTTAAATTTAAATAAAAATTTGAAAGATAAATGCAGTTATAGAAATACAATATGATAAAGATAAGAATTATCAAACAAAATATATAATGTATTTTAACCTGCTGTAGGTCTTGGTCGTCCTCTTCTCGTGAATTCGACGCCGGCTAAAACCCGAATTTTGTTTTGAGCAACATCACTCAGTCTGTCATAGCCACCATGGGGATCATCGGTTATAATTAGTGGATGATAGAGATTTGGACTATGAGGATTATTGCCTCCATAAACTAGGAAATTGTAAATTAAACCCCGACGTAGATAGAGTTCAGGAACTAACTGGCCATTTATGTACCAAGCTAGACCCATTGATGTTTGACCTGCATTATATTATCATTATTAATTATATTATTTCGATTTATAAATTAACATATATTATAAAATAACATAAATGTTGAATGTAAATGTAAATGTAAATTGAGTGTAAATGTTGAATGTCTTTCTGTAAATAAGGTTAAAATTTTTTTATTCTAAATTTATAAATTTTAAAAGTACTTAAAATATATAATAAAATTCTTCTATGAAACATAAATTATTTCAATTTTATCAATCAATTGATAAATTTAATATTAAAAAAAAACAAATATAATAATTTTAATGAAATGTTATATTTCTGATAAGTAACAATCTAAATTATCTAAAATATGAATAAGAATATATTTATTTATAAAAATATTATATTCCTTTGTTTTATCATGAATAGCACATTTATATTCAATTAAAATAATGAAGACTTAATTATTACAAATAATATTTAAAATTCAGTTTTTTATACTTCAGTTTCAATATTCATTATTTTAGTGTAATGAATAGTAATATAAAGTTAATATTAGTTCATATTTTACATTCTATTATTAGAATGTAAAATATGAATTACTACTCTTATATATATATATATATATATTTTTGTATATATTATAGATTATTAGAAAGATAACTGTAAACTATAATGAGGAAAATAGTTTAAATTAAATGAAAATATTATACCAGTAATAGCTTGGTAGCCTCTTGTTCCTCCAGATAGTCCTACAGTTGCTTTAAATGTTCTTATGCTTCTATCAAATATCTCTTCCTTTTCCCAAGACTTTCTAAAAAAATATGTTCATACATTATATGTTAAATATACATAAATTTGAATTACACTAAAATAGCAAAAAATTCATATCAATAATAATAAATATAATAAATTTAACAAAATTTGTTTATAAAATAAATACGGCATATTTTAATAATCAAATGGAATTGTGCAAATTCATATATTTACCTCAATTTTTCATGAATAACTGTAAAATCCATACAGGTATTTTCAGACATTGTATGGCCAAATTCAAGTTTTAAATGACTTTTTGGATAAATATCATGAAAGCTAGGCTCGTTATTTTCATCTAATCTTCCAAGTGCCCATATAATAAACACAGGCTCATTGGTAAGATATTCCATGTCTCCTGGATCAGCTGTTTGGTGTGTATTAAAAAATATTTTTGTAATATTTCAAGTTAGATATATAAAACAAAATTTCTTTTATTTATAATTTTTTGTAAATATAATTTAATTGTACATTATTATGATTCTAAACACTTTATTCTATGACTAATTTAATTAATGGAAACTTGGTATATGAATCTTTTTTCATTATATTATAAGCTATTTATTCATTTTTCAATATACATTGAAAAATTTAACCACAGTAAATCAATGTTGATTAACTTACGAGAAACTAAAAATCTTCTATAAGTAATGATAGTTATTTCATTATCTCTAACCGCAGTATAAAGTTGATTACTATCTTGACCACCTACAAGTTCATCTTTACACACTCCTTTATATTGTCCTAGAACTTTGGCACACTATAAAAAAACAAAACAAAAATATTTTTCTTAATTACTTAATTAGATAAAAATAAATTTTTTAATATTTTCAATGTTCTGAATTATCTTCATTAAGTAACAAAGATAAAAAATACTCATAATATGGGAAATTATAATTTCTCTAAAACTATTAAAATATAAAAATAAATGAAATATGAATTTAAAAATATTTTATATAATTTGTATGCAATTTCAAGTAGTTTTAAGTATAACATTTCAAATAACATTTTGAAAGAACTAAATTTCATTAAATATAATATTAATATTCTACTTTCAGTAAAATATTTTTAATAGTCGATTTAATAGTAGTTTAATTGCTGAAAAGTAATTTAGTTAAATTGTCTATATTAATCAAACTAAGTTCAATTTTATAATAATATTACATATATTATCTAAGTAATTATTTACTGGCGTTTTTGCAGTAATATTATAGTCAGTGGCAAAACCTCTAGTACCGTCCATGTATGCAATCGTTATATCTGCCCCTTCCATTTGACTCTTATCTTGTGAACCAGAAATTCCAAATGCCATATATTCAAATTCAGCTAAAAATGTAATAAATAGTGTTATGAATATTATTTTTATCAATATTAATGAATAAAAAAAATTATTTATTATATAATCCCAAACTATTTATTCATTGAAAATGTTAAAGTTTTAAATAAAATTGAAAATATTTATATATTTACACAAAAAATATCTATTATAAATTTAATATTAATAAAATATTAAATTATTTAGGTTTTTTATATTTTTCTGCAACTACTCAAATTTTGAAAGAAAGAAATTAAATCAATATACTGACAAATTTGACCAGTAAGTTGGAGTGTTATTTGAGGTCCAAAGATTTCCCAGCCTATTTGAAGTCTTTTATGAAGTTGTATACAATTTGGCATTGATTTGGAATGCTTAATGATCTAATTGAATAAGAGAAAAGCATATAAATAAGTTATTAATATTTAATTGCAACATATAAGTTTAAAATTTATATATACTTTAACAAGAGATGGCGGTACATTAAGTTTATTTGGAATGGTAACAGAACCAAAGTTGGTTTTCGTTTTGACATCATAGATACTTAACCAATCAATATCAAAAATTGTAGTTTCTCCAGGCAACTGAATGATCACATTGTCTTCGTTATATGATCGAAGTGGATCTAAGCTAAATATAGAAAAAATCCATTATTGGAAAAAATGAAAATTTGAATGAAATAATCATGAAAATAATCTTATTTAATATAAAAGATTGTTGTTTAGTCTAAATTCTATAATTTAAGATCCTAATATTTTAAATATAAAAACATTAGAATAATAGGTAATTCTAGGAAATCACAAAAAAATAAATGAATAGAAATAATATTTGATTTTTCAGAAAATTCTTTGACAAAATATTTCACACCAAAAATACTACTATCTTATAAATATTCATTTTATGTGTTGAAAATGATGTATATTTACTTTTAAAACTTAATTCATAAAGTATTTATTACTGACTAATATCCGTAAATTAAAATCACAATGTATCTCTTATTAAATTTTATAAATCTGAATAAAAATATATAGTTAATTACTATTTATATATTGTTAATTAAATAAGACTTACTACCCATATTCATCTGGAACTTTCATACCTTTTGGTGATGGTTGTGAGCCTTGACCTACTAAAAAATAGGTATCCTCACCTTTTCTATTATACGTAAGTTTTTGAATACTAATAGTTTTGGCATCCAATATAATAATGGATTCTGATGACACATTATGCAATGATTTTGAGAGCTGTGTAATTCTTTGTGGTGCTGGTGGATCAAATTCCTCAGGAATATATATATCGCCGAAAATGTTCTTAAAAAAAAAATATTTATATATTTTCAATTTACACAAAATTTAAATTTAACAATATCTTATTTAATAATTTTATGTCACATATATTTAAAAGCATTGTTATTATGTTAATTTTCATAATATAGACATAAAACATAGGTTATGTAATTTTACATGTTATCAATCCTACCGTAGTATTAATATAAATTAAATAAATTATTAAATCCTATCAATATATTATAATGATACATTAACACAAATGTAACCTTCATAAATGATTTTGGAAACAAGCTGTATTTATAGAATAAAATAATTTGATAAGCCTAACAAAACACAATGCATATAATTATAAAATTATTTAAATTTAATTTCAAAGTATTTACTATTAATAAAAGTAATATTTAATATAATTAATTTCATATATATTTTCAGTTATATATTAAATTACATATGTTTCAATACTGAAAACATTTTAATTTCAAAAACATTTTAAAATCAAAAACATTGAAAATAATAAATACTCTTATTATTGTATCATAATTCTTGATTATTTTTTAAAAAATAAAATTTTTTTTATAGTTAATAGATTTATTATAAAAAAATATCTATTTAGATCCTACCTGTGTTGACAAATCATAAACTGCAAACCATTTAATTTCAGTGATTTTTTTATTATCTGGCAAATTTAAAGTAAAATCTTTGTTGTGATACCGCATAAGAACATTGGTTCTTAAAAAGAAAAGATCATTTTATTAGTTTTAATTAAAATATAATTTAATTATAGAGAAAAAATTATTGAATAGAATTTAAACTTGATCGTTATTTGTGGATATTATTAAAGGTATTAATTATTAGGTTTTATTTTTATATAATTTTTAATTTATATAAAAATTTATAATTATAATATAAAAGAATATACTTATAGTAAAAACAAATATTGAAAGCTCCTTTATTGAAAACAAGTACTGTAAAATTAGGGATCAACCACTTTGAAAAATTATGATACTAAATTATTTAAAAGATTGATTAGAGTTATTTTAGTTTTAAGAACAAAGAAATAATTTAGTTCTAAAAAAATTTAATATTAATATAAAATATGTATACTCTATTGTAATAATCTTATAAATTTAAAATCAAATAATTATATTGATTTCTTATATTCATTATTTAATTATTAAATATTTTCCAATATATTATACGTACTTGCCATATTCATCTGGTACAATAAAACCTTGAGATCCTGGACGATTTGAAGCTCCAGCCCAAAAAAATGTATCTGCTCCATTCCCATCATAATTGAATGATGTGAGTAAAAGTGTATATTCATCAACTGCATAAACATCACCATTAACCTGATGATGATATACATTTAATTTCCCAAGGTATTTGCCTTTGTATTCATTATCTTGTTGATTCCTAACTAAAACAATTTTTTTTAAATTAATTAATCTATGAAATATTATATATCAAATATAAAAACTTTAGATGTTTTTTTACTGCTTTTTATAAACCAACTCATTTGTGGTAATATAAAATATAAATAAATTTCTATGTATTAAACTATACAACTAATGCTAACGTAAAAGTAATTTAATAAAATTTAATATAATTTTATTTAATTTAAAATTCACTTAAAAAAGGATTTCATTATGTACATTTAAATATTGTATGAAATAATAATTTTACTGTAAAATATAAAATTCTGTATTAAATATTAATAAAAACATTATATAATTTGATTTCTTCAGTGCTGTAAATTTATTTAAAACACATAAAAATATTGCAACAAAAATCGTGTATTTTAATCCATCTTTGATAAAATTAATAATTCATTGGTAATTTTTTTTAATATGCCATTATAATAAAATAAAATTATTTCGAATTCCATTCTTTTAAGATAATGTTTTTAATGTACATCTCAAAAATGTTTATTACTTTATAATCCATAAAAAATAAAAATGAACAATTCAGGAATAATAACAATAATTTAACAGATACCAGGGAAGACGAAAACCAGTAGTAGCTGCAACGTGGGCCAACAGTGACACATTTTCAGAATAGTTGCCATACCTTTAACATTGCGTTTTCTTATACTTTGTAACATTAACTTCTATTCAGTTAAATCGTCATTTAACTCTATTATTTTTCATTTTTTTAAACACGTTTACGTGCACTATATAAATACTATTTAATATGCATTTGTATAAAAAGAATACTGATACTTAAAATATATATATTCCACAAAATTGTACCTTGCTCTTGACAATAAATGTCTGATTGGTTTCACTTTCATTGAAGTTTTCAACTACAGTTATAAAGACAATAGTCAGGCTTAGAAAGCAACGAAAGCGTGATGAAGGAGAAGGGATAATACGAAAAGAGATAGTCTTTTAATAATAGGGGCCTTCGAAATTCTTTAGATCTTTGTAATGATATTAATTTATATTAATGTCTCAGTCAACCTATACCTTTTTTAGAATTATTTCTAGCTTTCAATATATTTAATGAAACTTACGTATAATACATTTAGTTATAATATCTAGTTATAATACTTAAAATTTGGTGATGAATGATTTTTTGTATCACTAATATTTTGCTTATGTATAAACATCGAATTTTTACTATATTTTAAATGTTCTCAGACAAAATTAAATAGAAGATGATGTAAAAACTATTATTTTAATGTTATATTTGCATATACTTCAATATATAAAAATTAGTTCAAAAGTAATATATAGTATATAAAATGTGTCAATTTAAACTGACAATGAAAATTGAATGACAAATGTTTTTATTAGATAAATATTTAAAAAATCGCTTTATTTACATTAATTTTCTTATTAGATTTCTTATTATAATTGTTAGTTAAAATAAAATTTAGCTACATATTTGTTTTATTTTTCATTAGTTCTAAAGTGATGAAAATAAAGAAACACTGTGTCTCTTCTATTTTTTATAATAGAAATAAATTAAACAATCGAACGTTGTTCATGCTTTGTTAAATATTCCTAATTATATATATATATATATAATATACTCTTATATACAAATATATTAAAAATAAATATACTCTTATCATATAATTTAATATTATTACGTAATTTTTAGATAGTAAAATTAAGAAATTTCCAAGATAGATTACAATTCATTTTTATAATAAATTCGTCTGAATAAGTCTATCAAAGTTTAAAAATAGATTTAACATATTAACTTTGTTATTTGTTTATTTTGTTTGATTTTGCCAAGTTTTCAAGATTTTGTAATATTTTTGCATTTATTCTTAAATTAAAGTTTGCATTTTTATTATTGAATTATTCATTTTCTGTCCATTTTATTACGTATATATATACTATTATTAATTGAAGTTTAAACATGTTGGAATATAAAAAGAGTTGATTATTAATAACTATAATAAAGGAACTGTCTTTATTTTACTATTTAACTATTGCCATTCATCGATTTCATTGTTTACTTTATGTATTTATTTATTTATTTATTTATGATTTACTTGACTACGAGAAACAATGCGTAAAGGATTATTAGTATTCTACTTATAATTAATTTATTTCTGAATGCAATTGGATACAAATACATTTATTTTGTACAGTACTATTCTATTATTATTTTCAATTATTCACAGAATAATTACTAATTTAATCCAAAAATATTTACATAATAAATACTATTTAACTAAAATAATAATAATATTATATATAATTTTAATTTACGGAAATTACTCGGCAATATTGAAAAATTTTTCTTTATTATCTATTGGAATGAATATATATTCAATAAGTTTTGTTACGTGAATTGTAAAATATGTATATTTCTTTATGATTCATCTTATTTATTAGTACTTTTTATTCATATTTCAATTTATTTAACCACAGACTTTTTCGTATATGCATATATTGCCTTACAATCATTGCAATTTGCTATACATGACCATAATTTTTGTATGACCATTGAATTTCATTTTATAATCATACAATTTCAGATAAAACTTCACTTTCTACAGTGACTATATTGAACGTTTATGTAATATTATAAACAATTATCTATCTTATTTATTAAATACTAGAAGCTGGTGTTTGTGAATTTTAATTTTTTAATAAATGGATATTGTTTCTTTCTTTTATAAGTGATTAGATTATTTCTGTGCCGTTCGATGTTGGTTTTCATAAAGCATAATAGGCTAGTTAAAAATTTATTTATAATTTATTTTTTATTTATACACTATTGTATAATTTTGTCACTTTGATAATAAATTTGTTTTTATAATATTATTGTTTCTGTAACCTATTTCAGGTTTATTATTGATATAATCTTGATTTAAATTTAAATATTGTTTCTAATACACAATTTATATTTTATAGTGTATATTATAATTTACTTATAAAACACTGGGTTTTCATTAATGCACGTAATTTCCTTAAAAATCTTCATTTTTAAATGACAAACGAACTTAAATATCTTTTTTATAAAAATACTTTATAAATTTCTCTATTTTAAAAAAATCGCAATATTCTCATTCATAATTTTCTGAAAAACATTTTTATTTTGTATTTTTATTTTTGTATAAACAAATAATTCATAATAATTAAAAATTATTCAACACTAGATTATGTAATGTATCTATTAAATTTGTTACATTAAATTTCCAATCTGCACAATTTCAGTTACTTATATGTACATTGAAGTATATATTTGTTAAATCTAATTTAAGTTTTCTAATAAATTGTATAATAAGAAATTATATATCTATAACAATAAGAAACTCCATCTTGATTTTCAAACATTTTTGTTTTAATAAATCTCTTCAAAATTGAATGTTTTATTTTCATTTGAATATTATTTAGATATCTATAAAATGAATATTGACTTTAATTAAATGTAGTAATACAATAGATGTTTTTGTAATACAATGTAATTGTCATCCATTATCAATTATAATAGCTTAATTATTTTTAGAGTTTTTATCTCTGATATTTATTAAATTTATTGATAATAGTACTTGTGAAGAAATTCTGACACATTAATTTTTAATTCTACAAAAGTTCTATTTTTTTATATGAATTTAGACTATGCATTTAAGTAATAAAAATATTACTTGTTTTACAGGATTAGCTCGTTATCTAATGTCTATTTTTAAAATTATTATACGTATTAATATTTAATACAAATTTAATAAATGATATAGATTATTGTATTTACACAATAAAAACATTTATTTAGTTTTCAAATTTGATAACGATAAGAGACATTTTGAATGAATAAAATTAGGGATATTGAATACTACTTGAATATACTAATTTTTCGCATTTTTAATATCCATGAATCATGAATTTACTGTTCTTAATCTTTTCAAAAGGGTAAATGGGCGTAAAATCAATCGTTTGAACAAATTTCAAATAATGTAGTTTTTGGTGATACTGATTATTATAAATATTTTATTGTAATTTTTATGTAAATAAATATTAATAATAATAATTAATAAAAATTAATAATTAATAAAAATTAATATTTATGTAAATAAATATTTTATTTTAGAAGTTATGCTACAGTTTCTAGATATAAATTAGTTAAAAATTGTACTCCTCCACCTGATTCAGTAGTATAGGAATAACACTAGTTTTCATTATGTGCCTCCTAAATCTATGCATTACAATTATTATTAATTGAATAACAGTAATCTTTATTGAGAATAACAAATTTATTTAAATTATTAAGGAAAGACAATTCATTGTATGTAATTAATTATTAGATAAGTGTTGTTGGACGTCGCTCATCTGAAAAATATATGGTATATATTAAATAATTTTTATTATAAATTCTATGATATATCAAGTTTTCAATTATTGATTATTTTAATATCAATAAATCATTTACCATTTTTAAAACATATGAACCTTTTCAAACTGAATTTTTCGAATTCAAATAAATATGTAATTTATTAGAAATCCTTCGAATCGATTAATAAACAGTTTCGCTATAATATAAATTAACGAAGAATTGCTTATTGTTAACGAAATATGTATGAAACATTAAAAAATAAATTAACCACATGTTAATCTGTGTTTTCTTTAACTTATATTTTTACGTGATGTAAAAAATACCGTTTTAATATCGGATTATTAAAAATAAATGTACATATATTTATTATAATAATTGTAATTAGATATTTATATTATTTTATCATTCATTCTCACTGATTTTATTTTAGTAATAAATATTTTTGTCCTAAATTTATATTAATTACCGCAAATTTTATTTGATATTTTATTTTATTCCTTATATTTTTTTCGTATTTATTTTGTTTTATAATCATTGTTATTATTGATTTGAATGTTATAATTATTTTTTGTAAATAAATTAAACTAATATTAATAAAATTGTTATATATGTGTAATGTGTGTAATAAATGTTAACTTTAAATGTAAAGTGTAATCTTTAAATTCTGTCATAATTTCATGATTTTAGCTCATCTCGATTTTTTAGTCTTAATTTGAAAGCGAAACATATATATATATATATATATATATATATATATATATAAATAATCGAAAAATATTTATCTACATCGCAATAATTAAAATTATTACAGATTATAGGTTTCGGTAGTCTTAAATTAAATATTAAATGTATTAGAAATTGTCGAGTAAATAATAAAGATCATGTTTCTTTAATTATTCTCATTGTCTCATATTTGAGTAATTATTGACTTAGTAGAACAGTATTGAATTTTCAAAATATTCATTTTTTTTAATATCTTTTACATCAATTATATTACATTACATTACACATATTTCTAAGATATATTGTTAATTAATAAGTTTTATATAAACATGTGCGAGATAACTAATATATATAATATCTATTGATATTTCAAACAAGAACACATTTATTTTAATTCAATCACCATTAAATGTACTTTAAAATATTTTTCAGTTACTCCTTTTAAGATATGTGTATACTCTTGGGTAAGAGCGATATTGATAAAAGAATTATATATACATATATATATGTATTTCTTTTTATTGCACATATATAAAATATAATACATGGTCGTTATAAATATGTTTGAAATTTTGAAAATATTTAAGATGCTATTTGTGAATTTTTTTATAGAAGTTCTTTTTTATAGAAGAAATTTTTGTGTTTTTAAAACAATTTTTTTAAATCTTGAAATTGAATTTAAAGTTTCAAAGTATATTTTAAATTTAAATTCGTTATATAAATTTAATTTTTGTAAAATGATGTCGTAAGTAATAGAAAAGAATTCATATACATGAAACGGGTGACGTTAGTATATTTCAAAGTAATTACTTTTTTTAATTTAAATAAAAATAAAAAACAATAACTAAAACTGATAACTATTTATATATTATTTAAGGTTTATGGTAATTATACTAATTAAATAGTCGTTTATCACAGAGATTGTATATTAAAATTTTTTAATTACATACGATAAAATCAATAAAACTAGGTAAAAATGAAAACATGAAATCTAAAAAATTTAGTAAAATTATATTTTTGTAGTCAATTATAGGCATTATATATTTACACTCAGAAGTGATATATAATTGTAATATATTATATACCTTCCTGATGTATAATTTTTTTCCGCTTGTCACATATGTATCATAAATGTCCTACATTCTTAAAATTATCTAATACATCCATCACTATATGTTAAAGAATGCTGTTTTCGATGAACTTAAATTAATTAATTAAATTTTATAATTTTCATCTAAAAATTTTGAATAAATAACAATTTCATTTTACATAGATGAGTTATGTCTGGTTAGATTATCTTTCTAATATATCTATAAATATAAAAAAAAGATTGATTAATCAATATAATAAAAAATATTTTTTATATGCAGCTAAAAATGTACATATTTCTAAATACAGACAAATACGACAAATAAGACAAATAAATAAGTATCATAAAATATAATAATATTAAAGTTGTATATTTTAAACGATAAATGTATGATATTTTTAATTGAGTTCTTTTATATATGTATTGAAATACATCATAGAAAATTAAAAGCTAATCTTAAGAATATTAAATATGGTTTTGTATTCAATATGACTGATATAAATTTAAAAGCTCAATATTTTTCTTTATTATCATTTAATGTAGCTATTCTTTTAGATATATATAAATTATTATTTAATTTTCATGGTAATTTTTTAATAATTGTTTTGTAAATATATTTGTATTTTATTTACCTCTACAATATTTCGGAAATAAAACAAGATAACTGATAATCTTAAATATTTAACAACTGAATTGCATATATTTTTTATTGTCATATTTTTATGTGATTTTGTTGTTAAAAAATAACTTATAACAAAAAAGTATATTTTAATTAATATATTGGAAAAAAATAGTTTCTATTTTTATTTTAAAGTAATTTTCATTTATTTTTTGCATTACAAATTACTTATTGCATAAATTATAAAAGTTCATGTATTTTAACTCAAATATTATATTGATATAAAATGAAAATGTATTGTTTTTCATATCATAAATACATTTTACAATTTATATTTTTAATAACGTTATTTAAATATTATATAAAAATAGTATTATAAAAAGTTTTTATAAAAAATCTAAAATTTAACTGGTTAAGAATGTAATACTACATCATTATGCTTTAGATACTAGATTTATAGATTAAAATTCTAGAAGTTGGATTATATATACAGGTTACTATAATTACAAATTCATATATAATAAACACTATAATTTTGTATTGTTATTAATAATAAAAGATAATTATAATAAATAATAAACTTAAATACAAAAGCTAATATATAAAATTAAACACTACATGTTTAATATATGCTTATTATTTCAATTTTTATTTCTTTAGAATTGAATATAAATATTACTTTGAAATCATTTAATATAGGAACAGAATATTGCTGAAATAAGATAAGATTCTTGCCAGTTTATTCAAAAACAGTTTCATTAATCAACTTAAATTAAAAACAAACAGTACTTTTGTGCATTTACAAGTATTTACTATTCATAAAGTAGATTTTATTTGGCAAAAAATTATGATATTTACTATTTGGATATTAATATTTTAATTACATTCTATATTAGATATATAATTGTAATTATGATAGTATCTGTTTCTGAATATAAATTTTAAATATATTTAATATCTTTAAAAGATTATTTGGTCTTAGAAAATATATTCCCAAATATTTAAATTATAAAGTACTAAATATAAATTAATTAGAATGATTTTTAGTTTAATATTAATAATTACTAAAAAAATAATTACTCATTGTCTATTTAAGCATTATACACAAAAATATTAAAAATAAAATATTATTTAAAATTATATTCTGTTAATAATTTTCCTGAATGTAATTTTATAAAACTTAAATTGAAAACTAAAATTTCATTGCACAAACAATGTAATGATATTTGACTATATTTATATTACTGTAGACAGTTTTCATTACATAAAAATTATAATTTATTTGTAGAATAAATATTAAATTATTAAATATTTATTTAAAGCCAAAAAATTAATAATGTACTTTGAAAAGTAGAAATAATAGTGGTAGAAATCATAAGCATTAAACTTGATCTCAGATAATTTTTTTACCAAAAACATATACAATTGTATTTATAATTATATTTTATTAGAATATTATACAATATATTCCATTAAAAAAAAAAAAAGCTGTGTTTTACAATAAACAAATTTATAATATTTCGTATATACTTTTATATATATACTTATTTAGAGAAATATTTCAGTCTTTTTCTAATATATTAAATACTTCAATATGAATGAATACTTTTGATAAAATAAAAGTAGCCAATAAATTAATAACTTATTAAATTAATAAAACACTTTTAAAAATGATTTTATAAATGGAAACTTAAATATAAGTCATTAAGTTGTTATGCAGATTATTATATTTTTTTATTGTTCTTATATTTAAAGCCATACTTTTTTATTAAATATAATACTAAAAACGAAATATATAACTATGTTAATTTATGTTTTAAAAAATTAAAAGTTGTATGTCTCAAATTCTAAAGCTAAAATTACACTATCCTTAAATTATAAATATATGTATTTAATTTTTAAAGAATTTGGGCATACATATTTTGTAATAAAAAATGATCAATAATTTTCATTTAGATAGATTTTAGTTACAAACTTTTTAAAAACCAAAAATAATAATTATACGTACTATTAAAAATCACAAACATTTTTGGTAAATACTTTTAAGTAAATCAATAATTGTACAACTTTAAGAAATTGATGTTGTTTCATATTTAAATAAAATAAAATATTACAAATATTTTCTCTTTAGCAAGCATATTTGCTGCTATAAATTTGAAAGAACGCTTACGCTTTGAGATAGGTCAACCTGACCTCGCAATACCTTTTGCTGAAGTTTTTTACAAAATATTTTCGCCATTAGTTTGTTACATCTTGTTTCCTGTTGTAATTTTTGTTGTTTACGTTTAGTTTGATTTTCTGTTAACTGAGAATATCGTTTTCGCAGTCTCATTTTCATGTCTTTATCAGAAATTTTCCTCTGTGTATAATCTGTAAATGAAAAAAATATTTGGTGTAGATATATCTCCTCTTAAATTAATTTTTAACATAAATATAAATATAGGCATATCAAAATAAAAAATACTCTTGATATAGTTCTCTGTTTTAAAATAATGCGCTAATAAAAAATTGTTTAAATTTAAAATAACTTTTATTATTACTTAGTGGTATATTTTTAATAATTTTTATACGTAAACTATATCGAATAAAATATGTTTTATATCATTAAGTCTTAATGTACAATTATAATTCTTATGAAGAATACAAAATGCAAATATTTTATTAATTTAAAATATTTTTATTGTAGTCTATGTGTTAAAACTTACTCGTAACTTTAGCTTGTTTTGATGACATTACTAAATTAGTTGAAATAGTTTTCATTGACAGTAATTGTACTCGTTTCTTTTTCTTAAGTTGACGAAGTCGTTGTATTTCAGATACATACTGACGGCGTATTTCAACATTTTCAGTGAAACCAGGATTGTTAGCAATCAAATAATCCTGTGTTTATTTAAACGAAACAATATTTTATAAAGTCAATAATGTTTTTATTATGTAGACAAGTTTTAATAGAAAGAATGAATGAATTTTATGAAGAAATACAAAAGCTTGAAAAATTTTATGATAAATATGAAATAATATATATTATCTTAAAATTAATGAAAAAGGAAAACTTTCAACCAACCTGTAAAGTTATGCCTTTCTCACTATTCAATTTATATAGTTGTTCGTTATTGTAGTTGTGATTGTATAGATTAATTGTGTGCTGTGATATTTCACACATACAACTTTCTATATTATTCTCATGAATTAACTTGTTTGATATTAAATCTTCTTTTTCTACGTTTTTGGTTTCAAGATCAACCTTCTGTTGAAAGACTATTTCATTAATTTTCTTGTCATTAAAAAAAATTAACTCGTATGCGATAGATTTAGGGTAATTTTTAATAACACATCCACAATTCCGTTCATTTTGAAAAATCATACCACAAATTGGACAACATTTATATTCATTTGATATTGAATCATTGAACATTTGCATACTATGGTTTATACTAAACAAAATAAAATAAGTTTTTAACAAAATATTTATTTAAGTTGCATAAAGTATCGTTATAGCAAATAAATAATTTAATTTTATAACTTTTTAGTAATTCATATTAAAGGCGTTATTTTATAGATAATATTATATTGAAATAACAAAAATCATTAAATGTATTTTTTATAATATTATATCAATAGATGATAAGTAGACATAAAAGAAAATATAAAATTGAAAAAGCTTGAAGATACAAATTAAGAATTTATGAAAATTTCGATCGCATAATTTTATGCTATGCTATTTAATAAATATTTTATTCACTATATCTATTTATATATTTATTGAATACAGGAAATATTTTACTGTATAATTATATTAATAATTTATAAATAAATTATAAATGTTTGCACTATTTTTATTTTTATCTTTAATCATGTCTCATTTACCTGGGATAAATATTTTCTTGATCTTCAGATTTAATCATGCAGCAGTGATCTAAAAAATTATTGATCTCTTTATTTGAATTATCTAAACAGCAAGGTCGAATTTTTCGCTTACTAAAATAATTATTCTCAAGTCTTTTTTTTAAATTATTACACTTGCAATTGTAAACTGTACTAGAAGCATTAGGAAATTTCGTTTCCTTTGAAAATTTCTTTATATTCATTTTTTCAAAATTAGAAACGAATTTATTGTCTTCACAATTGCATTTTCTTGATAATTCTTCAGTAAGCTGTTCAGATAATTTGTATCTTCTACATAAACACATCAAACCTGCAATTAAATTAATTATAATTATACTTATATAAATCTTACAATTATTAAAGAATTGGAGAATATGAAATGTATATAATTATTAATTATCATAAAATGTTTACCAATTTATAATAATTCTTAATACATTCAATATTTTAATTAAATTAATTAATAAAAAAATTAATAGAATTGTCATTACTATTATTAATGCTTACATTTAATTTAAAAAATTATTTTTCAATATAAAAATTAATGACATTTCTAAGTGTAATAATTTTACTGTAAATAAGTTTGTACTTAAATATTATAATTAAAGTATTTATATAATATAAATAGCAATTAAAAAAATAATACAGTATTTATAAAAAACAAAAAATAAAATATTTACATAATACCTTCACTACTACTTAATAATGTATGGAACTTTATTACAAACCTTCACATCTACGTTTATTATGTATTTCTTTATAATCTGTAGATTTCCTTAGCTTTCCTACTTTCTGAATGTTGCATTTTTTATCATTCGGCTCACACATACATTTTACTTTAGTTTTATTAATTTGGTTCTTTATTTCTTTTTCTACATCATTAAATTTACAGTTAATTTTGCTAAGTACATCTGGATTATCATTTGTAAGTAACTGATGATGTAATGGATATTTAGAACTACAAAATAGGCAAACTTGCTCACTACAAGTACAAGTCAAAAAAACAGCTTGATGAACTGGACAACCTGCATATAACTAAAAATGTTTAAGATTATATAAATAAATTAAAATAAATATTAACTTATCAGTAAAATGGAATAATAAATTAATTTCCTTATAAATTTAATAATTAAGTAGGGATTAAGATAAATTTCATTTACGTGAATTAAATTAAAAAAATTATTTGTAAAATAAATTAAATTATGTTCCAGCATTTACATAAAATAGACTTAATTGTACTTGAAAACTTTATAAATAATATTATATATTCTATATTTACTATAAGTCTTATTAATTGCATGTAATATATTATTTCTAAATATTTGAATTCATTTATATTTATATACCTTTGAAGTGGATAAATCTGAAGTAAGAGATTTCAGTGGTTGTAATGTCTGTATATAAGCATTTGTCAATTTTATGTTGGAGCTTTCAACTTTTGCTGATACAATTTCACTACCAGTTCTTGAATAAGCAAATGAATGTTTAGTAGCTGTTTGTGTACAGCTATTACGTTTTTTAAAATGTCTGATTGTGTTTGTATTGATTAGCAATGAACTGTTTGCGAGATTATTGTGAGAAGACCATTGTTTGCTCAATAGATTATTGTCAGTAGCTTGTTGCTGATGATTGACTGTTTTAAATGAAAATTTACCAAGTTTCTTAGATTTTATTTTTGATTCTTCAAGAAGTTTTTTAAGATTTGATAAATGATTTATTTCATTATTTATCCATATGAGCTGATTGCGTTTTTCCTTTTTTGCATATGAGACAAGTTTTGTATCTTCTGAATCAGAATTACTGTATTGACGAAATTTATACATACGCTCCGATAGAGTGGCTGGTAAACGCCAATTCATACTTCTATCAGGTTCATTGCTTGATTCTATTTGATTTTGTCTATTATTATGAAATAAATTATTTTATAGTACAATATTTATATTACATAGATATATTTTTAAAATTTTAGTTAAAAATAATGAAGAAAATGTTTCTTATTAATAATTTTTTAATTATAAGAAATGATTTTAATTTAATTAATTCATTTCATATATCATATTTTATAATTAAATTTCATTTGTCACCTGCTATTAATAACAGCATCTAAAAATGCTCTATTTTTCTCTTGCAGTGAAGTAGAAGTTATGAATATATCTTTCATTTTATTATTTTTATTATATCTTTGTTGAGGTAAAAAACATTCAGAACTTTCACTTTTGGTAATTAGTAAATTACTACTATGTTTGTTACAATCATCATCTTGCAAACCCACGCTCGCATTTCGTCCATCTATTGTAGTTCTATCTATATTTCTATCAAGTTTGTCACTGTTACTACTTTCTATTTCAGCTATATATAAAAAAAACATAAAATATATTATTATTCAAAATAAAATTGAAATGAAATAAAACACAGTTTGTGTTCAATAAAAGAAAATTACTAGGTATATTGATAATATCCTTAATGGTGCTAAATTCATTTGTTGATGCTGATTTTTTAATATTTTTTCTCTTTTGTAATGGCTTCAAATCTTCTGATGATTCTGTAATATTCTTAGCAAGAGCTTGTAAAATTTCTGCTTGGTGAACTTTATTTCTTCCTTCAGCTGGATCCCATGGTACATTTTCTTCTAAATTATGTTTGATTTGATCATCTGTATACTTAGCATTAACAAGTCTTTTAATTACATGGTGTATGAGGCGCTTTTTAACGTGTTTATCAAGTTTATTTGCATCAACAAGACTCTTGAGAATATTAACACTACGTTCAATATCATGTACAAGACTATTAGAATTTCCCCATAATTTTTCATCAACACTTGAACTTGTATTTGGTACAGTTGAGTTTGAACAACCTGTTTCTATCGAAGACACCTGGCTACTACTGCTGTATGGTATATTTTCATAGATTAGAGCTAAATAATAAAATAAATATATATTTAATTTGGAATGATACAATATTTCATCAGAATTTTATACTAAGTCATTAAATTTCAACTTTCATACTAAATAAAAATATAAATAGAACTACTGTTTTTTATCAGCATTTAATTTAAATAATATAATTTGTAATTTATTTTTTGTATTTATTATAACAAAATTATTAATTTATCATTCTTCAAAAATTGCATTTTACATTTTTTAATCTATTAAGTATTTAAATGTTAACATACAACAAAAATATTTTTCTATAAACAAAATTGGTTTAATTTAAAACTGGATTTTAATTTTGTTTAAATTCCATAAGATCAGAAATTACATAGAGGTGGGATTGGACTGTATAGTCTTTCATACTGTTGCAGTCTATAAGTCAAGATCAATGTATAACAGCATTGTCGATGAATCTAATAAGAAGAAATGTCTACACATGGAGAAATATTACTGACATGTAAAAATTACAATAGAATTTTAAAAGTAAAAATACAATGTGAAAATAAACATAAGTTTACTGTCTAAAATTAATTTTATATAAAACAATTTTTATTTTGTTTCATAGGTTGGATAATTGAAATTTTCTATAAATATAAATCACTTTTGTATAATGTATATATCTGACTATATTATAAAGTTACCTGTAGAAATATTAGAACTATTTGGTAAACCAGTAATATTTTCAGTATTATTTTCTTGAAGCATCAATGCAATATTATATGATGAATTTGAACTATTATCTGCCTGTATACGATTTTGTTCATTTTCATTTGTATTTGATATATCCATTATGCTGGATTGTTTTGAGTTTTCATTTTTATATATACCTTTAGAGTTTTTTAATATGGAATTAAGCATCCTTGATGTAAAACTAGTTAATTTATCTGGAAGTGGTAGTTTTTCTTCTTCCTTTAATAAAATAGTAAAATCAAATATGAATTTTTATCTAAATAGTAAATTGATAATAAATAAAGTTTCTTTTGTAATTAAAAAGTAGTTTTATTTTTATGAAATTTTAAAATTAAAAATAAATTATTAATACTAAAAATGAAAACCATAATTTGTTACATAAAATAAGAACTGTTTAATTTTTTAATATTAATTAATACATAATTCATTTGCTATAAAAAATATAAAAGGAAATATGTATTAAATTTAATTAGCACAGTACGTTAATAAAATCTGAATATGTTAATATTAAATCATTTAAATAATGAAATCTAAAAAAAATATTAGTAACTTACCTTTAATACAGGGACCTGCAGCCCTAGAAACTCCTGTGTACACGTTTTTATACTGGTCTCTATAAATTTGTTATTCATGGACGGTTTGTTATCAACTATTGTTGCAGTGGAAGATGTTGAATTGAAAATTAATTGTGGTACAGTTTTTTCTTTACCGTGAAGGTTTAGTTCACTTTGACTGCGCTTAAGTGGTAATGTTGATGACGAGGAAGCCACTAGATGCATCGATGAGCTTCTTTTTAGAGGTAATACTTTGGTTGTATAATTACGGTTATAATATTTAGAGGATTTTAATGTTTTTAATTCATATTTTACAGTATAGAGTTTATATTTATTGGTAAACTCTGAAGTTTCGTTATTTTGTTTTAGATTCTGAAAAAAAATTAATTTTAGAATTGTTTAATAGTACTTTATGGAAGAAATAATATTTTGATGAAAAACAACATGAAAACAATTGCTTTAAATTGATATTAATATTATATAATTCTGAAAAAATATTTAGAAGTTAAATATATATAGATTTAAATATAGATTCAATTGTTTTATATTAACTATATAAAAATTAAATATTACACATTTTTTATAATATTGAAAATGCTAGTCACTTACTTGCTTAGATAAATTATTAGAAAGTCTCTGAATCATTTAATTAAATATAACTAAAAACTGAATTAATTTAAAGTGAAGACAATGAAAATGTAGAAAATACAATGCTATAATAAATTTCTAAATTTAATAAATATGTGAAAAATTTGATTACGTTGTTTAAATTAAATTTATCTAGTTCATTTATCTGTGTACGCTATATATAGTAAAACAATTTAATTATTAAGAGTTGTATTTTTAATTTTAAAATATTAATAATTTTTAAGATTTAATGTATTTAATGCTTTTATGCATATATATAATATTTAAAGTTTTTTATATATTGTTTAATCATAATTAAATCAAATATAAAATATTTTACTTTCTATTAATTTATCAACTATAAATAAAAATAGCAGTTTTAATCATTCATTTTTTCATGAGATTCACTTTAATTTATAAATTATAAATGCCATAATAAATGAGATTTTTAGGTGGTTTACAAAAGAAATAACTTTTTATTATATAAGAAGGTAAAACAACTTATAATGTATAAGCCTGTGATCATATAAAAATATCCTAGGTAAAGCATATGACAGAAATAATATTGATAGTCATTTTTGAAATATTATGATTATATATTAATTCAACCAAATATGTATACCTGACATTACAATAAAATAAATATGGATGTAAGTTTATCCTTCAATAAAATATATTGAGTATTATTAATATATATCTGCTAATTATATAATTTATTCTACTTATTTAAATTAACAATTCTATACTTATTTTAAATCAAATCGTATCTAAAGAAAGTAAAAATTTGTATAAAAAATAAAATATGTATTTTATATATTGTAAATTTATTTGAAGTCTTGAAAAATTTTAAGGATTGTATTAACTCTCAAGTATAATATATTGTGACTTTAAATAGATCTATATATTTAAGAAAATGATTTTTTGACTGAATTTGAATTTTTTTGAGCAAAAAAATCATGACAAATCCGTGTAGGAAAATGTGTTTCCAATTACTTTCTTATTATTTTTAAAATTTAAAATAATTGGGCATTAATATTTCTATTTTTACAACTATATATATCAGAATTATAATACTATAATGTAGTATAATATACTATATATTTTAGACTACATTTGTGAATATATTTATAAATATGTATAGTTCAAGTACAAGAATGGAAATACATAGAATGGAAGTATATATTTTAAATATAAAATATATTATCTACATAAAAATTTATCAAATTTACAAACCTTTATGTCATTACAGTTCTTAATGGTATATTTATTTGATTCTGATACACTTAACAAAAGACCTTTAATAATGGGTGTGATTTCAATTTCACTTTTACTGCTTGAAATGCTATCAAATAGTGGTGTTGAATTAGCATCAGGTTTATCAAGCATTGATGCACAACAGTACAAGATTGATGTTTTTGTTGTGCAGTGGTGCCTTTGGGATCAAGCCTTAAAATGACAGAACAATCATTTGCCAAGGCCATGTGTTTTGCTTCACTACTATACTGAAATTTATAATTGTTACTAGGTTGTTGCTGGTTACCCACTTTATAAACATAGTCTACATCGGCACCACTATTCCTTATAGGGATTTATACGAAGTTATACTAGATATCAGTGAAATCTGTTTAAGAATTATTTCACTATGCAAAATCTGTGGGTTAATCATATAAAGGATGTTTTTATTCTCATTTGTACTACTGGTAATAAATCTACTACTATCATAAATCAAATGCTGCATCTGTTATTCATGTTGCTGACTGTTAGAATCAATTGATTGGAGTTCTGTTGACTGTAGAGCAAATAAAACCATTTACATCTTGCTATATTTCATTATTGAAAAATGTGCAAATTAAAAAAAATTATTGTCTTTAAAAATAATTTAATCAATATTATGTATGTAGGATATCGTAATATGAAACATTTGTTTATTGAGTAACTTTATAAATACACCATTTTATCAATTAAAAAATATTTTTTATAGATAACTGATTTATAATCCACAAATTATTATAAAAACTTATGCTGAAAATATTTTTAAACTAAAAGTAATTTATTAAAAATATTAATTTAATAATTAATATTAAAAAGTATATTTTTATATTTGTTTTGTGTAAGAAAATGACTTTTAGTAAATTAACATAAATTTGCTTTTAGTTTTTAAGTAGCTCTAGAAATTACAAATGAATATTTGTAGCTTGTTTTAATTGATTTATAATTATCAAATAAAAAATGGTGTAACTAATACCAAATAATATTAAATTGTAATATATATATATATCTAAACATTTTAAAAATTATATAAGAATAATGAAAAAATAATTTAGTCTAAATAAGACAAAATCTTAAATAAATAAGAATCATAATTGACATTCTTTTAATTTTATGGATTATAGATGTATAAAAAACTTATAATTTATAAAATCCAAACTGACATTAATATATGTACAAGATTTATCAATAAAAAAAGAGGTCTATCCCATAGTTCTTTTCTTTTGAAATATAAAAATTTAGATAATCTTGATTGATCAAGAGTTATTTTCAATTCTATTAGTAAAAAATGGCAGTTTAATGTAATATTTAAATTTGAAGTCTATGAAAATCCAAGTAAAAAATACCTTTAATATGTATAAACTAAATTGGATTTTATTGATAAAATTAATTGGTAAAATATCAACATTATATATTAAGAAAAATAACATAAGTATGTAATATTTTATTTATTTGAAGAAACATAATATAAAATTCAATTGCATATTATAACACTTTTTATTAAAAGAATTTTTTCAAAACTAAAAAAATATATTGATTTTAAATAAAATATTTGAACATCAGTTTAAAATTTATTAAATATTATTCCCAAAGGTATTTTTGTCTGTATGGAAGAATTTGTAATTATATGATTAATTAATTGACAAAACCTTGCAAAATGAATTGATGAATCTGCATTGTAAAATATTTGATATCCATACTAATTATTCAATTTCTCAGATATTTCTTTAATCTTATATTTATTTTATAATTCTGTACCTGAACGATATTCCATCATTTTTTACATATGAATGTAAATCGTCACATTTTTGAATAATCATGTTATTCCTATGTAGTTTTAGTAATAACACTATGGGTTTTGTTAAATTTATATAATACATAACAAAGAAATTTTCAATATCATCAACAGTTATATTCAAGATTTTGTATATAACACAACTAAAACTACACAAGAGATTATAATACAATGTTATTCGTTATTAAAAACTACTATATTTTTTCAAAAGATCAAATTTTTATGAAAAAATTGTAATTGAAGGATTAAAAAAAAATTACGAATGAATGTTCAAAATAAATTTGTACAAGTAAATTCGAATATAGTGATATCCAAATTATTTCAAGAGATAATTAAAACAGTGGATTCTAAAAATTTCGGTTTAGAGACGCGTCATCCGATGTTATACTATTAAACATTCATGATTTAGCAGTACAAAATGGCGGAATAATAGGCAATTGCATATTTAAGCATGTATTCTTTATGATTTATATGATTGGCTTAGAACTTGGGTACAAAGCAAAACTTTAAATATGATAAATAAAATAAAATGTATTCTTTTTCGAACCAGTATGTAATCAGTATTAAATTATACATTTATTTATTAACAAACCGTATACAAATATTTAGAATGACTAAGTAATAAAAGAATAAGTAAAAGCTAACATTGAAATTTTATTTCAGTTACAAAATTAGACTAGTACCATTTTTTAATTATACAATTCAATAATAATTTTAATCAGTTAGTTATAGGTGGGAATATTCACAATTAATTTAAATATTCTGTTGAGATTAATAACTATATGTATATATACATATATACATAGCATTATGACAAATAAAGTTGGAAGTGTGAACCAAATATTAATAAAAAAAATTTGTAAATATGTGTGCATTGAGAGACCATAAAACTTGGTAGTGTATTGAAAAAATAGAATATACATAATATTTATAAAAATAAAAATACATAATATGGAAGTCATAATTATATTCTAATTTTAATAAATATAAAACTTCAAAAGTTTATAAATTATTTGTGAAAAATTGTATTTTATATCTTATAAATGTTTTATTTGCATATTATCATTTTATAGAATAATCCATACTTATTTTTAATTTACATAGTATATAAAAATGGTAGATTTACAGAATAATTACAAAAGTTGTAGATTTATTGTGAAATAATAAATGTTATTAATCAAATATTTATGTTTAATGTTTTTAACAAGAACTTGATCATTTTTTTTTTATTTCGTAGAGAAAATCATCCATCATTTAAGAATGTAGAAAAGCACTATATAATGGATTAGCAAATTTATCAAATATGCACAGATTTCAATTGAAATTTCATCATACCTGAAAGTAAAAAGATGATATGGTATTATTATTAGAAATTTATCGAATTGTATTATAGAAATAGTGTTTTCTTTATTATATTTGTTTTTTTTAAGAATAAATAATTTTTATAGTATTTCAATATTCGGATGATAAATTATCAAAGTATTATATACTAAATGATATAATATATAAAATTTTACATTATAATTTTGTTAGTGCAAAATATGAAATAATTGCATATTTATATGAATTATAATTGTATTTAAGTTGTAAAAATATATTTGAACTTAAAAATGATTTTTTTTTAAGTTTGTTCATAAACATAATTCTCTTATTTGTATTTAGATAATTATTTATTAATATATTTATATTAATATTAGTATATTTATATTAATAAATAATAATAAAATTTTGGAACTATTCTATTTTTGAGTATTTGAAATATTTTTCTTGTTGAATTATTAATGTTTTTATTTTGTCTTTGTATTTAATATCACTAATATTTATGATATTTTCCAAATATTCTGTATTAGAATAAAATTAATTGTATATTATACAATTAGTTACTATTAAATAAAGTCAGCTGCAGTATCACAAATAATTTAATATTAATTAAAATTTATAATGGTATTTACTATAATTAAAACAATGAATTATTTTAATGTACCAATATGTTGTATTCAATATTTTGAAATAATTAAAGAATTATTTTAATAATCTAATAAAGAACAAGATTAATAACAAATAATAAAATAATCATTTGTATTAAATATATATAAGTTATGATTAATAAATTTGTTTAATTTTATTTTAGTTGAATATTGTGATTTTTCATATTTGAAGAGATAGGTTTTGTTTATAAATCTAGAAAGATTACCATAAATTTAGTTAAATTTTTATTATTTTCTAAATTGAAGCAAACAGAATATCTTTATTTATTTAACATTATTTAGAAGGAAAGTAAAATTTAGAGATTAAAATTAAAAGAATTTGTTTAACTTGAAATATAAATATAGTTTCTATTGAAGATAATAATTATACAAATATATTTTTGAAATGTATATATTAGAATGAATTATATATTAGAAAACAATTTTTTTCACATATATGCTTTTGTATACACAAGAGCTGCAAATCTGTAATTTTTATGTTGCAAAATTAAAGAGTAAAAAAATGATTTATTAACAATTACAAATTAAATACATCTACAAATTTATTTAATACTAAAAAAGATTGTTTATAATATATGAATGAATTGATTAAAAGAAATTAAAAATATATAGTATATTATTTAAGATAAAATCATGTTGATTTATTTAATATATTCTAATATGTATAATTTTACATCAACAGTAGTTGTATTTTTATTGTTGCAGAAAAAAAGTTAAACTACGAATTAAAAATAAATAATTATTTTTGTAATGCTAGCTTAAGATTATATTATATTGTTAAGTATATTAATAAGTATTGTTTTTTATTATATACAATACTTATGTTTTGAATATTTTTTATTTTATAAATATTTTAAATCAAGAATTTTAATATTTTTTTTATATATTTGCATATGCAAAATATACCAATTTTATTGAATAGCAAATTTCAAATGTTTTGGTTATTCGTTTGATCAGTTCAAACAAAAATATATTTGCAATTTGATTTTAATTTAATAAAATGAAATAAAAGTTGAAGTTAATTCTGAGACACAATGTAATGAAATAAGATATATTTTTTTAATAAAAATCATATTCATACATTTAATAATTATGAAAATATCATGTTTATCAGCATATACTTAAAAAAACTTTAGAATGCATATTAGAAAAGGGACTTTTTAGCAGATAGTTTATATTGAACAATTGCAATAATCTAGCATGCAATTACAGAATACATTATCGTTTGTAGATTTTATTGTATTTATTGATTATATTATTTAATGCTATACAATGCATTGTATGATAGAAATTTAATCTTTTGATACTGTTTATAATATAGTAAATGCTACAAAACACGAAATAAAATTAGTTACATGATTCAATATTTAGTATTAATTTATCTTATTAAAGTACATATATTCACTATTATCATCAATTTATGATTTTTATATAAAATTATTTACTTTTTTACATTTATTTGAAATCGTGATAAGTACCATTCATGTTATTTTGTTTTTTCTATTCAAAAATTGAAATTCGTCAAATTTATTATTTTTTACTATGCTATTAATTTAATTTGATGTTTAATGATTTATATAATAATATATTGTAAAGGAATACTTTTTGTTTTATATTCTTATTATTAAAATGTATACTTCAATTTATTTCGGGATATACTGATTAAACTACTTTTTCCAAATATATGGATATTTATTGTAAAGATATATAATTGAATTGAAATATTAAGGTAATTTTTTATTGAATATTGTAAATTGATACATAATATAAAAAAAATAATATAATTTAAATAAATTGAAAAATATAAGAAATGCAGTAAAATTTTTAATTTATCTTATTTAGAATCTATGTATGAAGATCGATCGCAACGCCAGCTACAGAGTTAATTTACATGCTAATATGGTGGGCCAGACACGTTCTTGTCGAATCCAATTTAGCAGTCAATACTGTCAGCAACGACAGGAGCAATATTATAAAATTATCAGAAAATATAAGCAAAGATAAATATTAAGATTGTAGGTGAAGTTTGTATGTACTTTTTAGTATTTTCAATCGGATGGATTTAATAGTGTGAAAGAACTTATACGTTAAAAAAGTATAATAAAATAATTACTATGGATGATTGGGGTAAAAATACTTTTCTCGAACTATTTGAAAATTTGGTTCATAGCATAATGTATTTGGTTGAAAGCATTCAAAATGAAATATTCTTATTGCAGAATCGGAAAAAATCGAGTCCGAGTTCGATCTTGGAATACGTTCTAATAAGTGGGAAGGCGAGGATGAAGAAGAAGTCATAGTACGTTTATTATATTGTTTTCTAAGGATCATGAAATTTAATATTATTTTATACATAAGTTTTACAGAATATATGCGTATTTATTATTTCGCACGTGCATTTCGTAGATGGACACACTTAAGTATGTGTAAATTATATATGAATTCAGATTTTTTAATTTGCCACATGGCTTATTTCCTTCAAAACGATTTATAATGATATAAATATATTTTAATATATAAAAAAATTATAAGATTTTTAATATTCACACATATTGATTAAATAATATTTTATTAATTTTTAAACGTCTAAATTTTTAATTTATTATAGAACTTGCAAGGGTTATGTTTTATATTAACGTCTGCCTTATATTCCTAATTATTTTTGATATCATTTTTTATAAAAACTATATATTATATATTTTACTTGTTTATGAAATCATGATACATTAAAAAGTTTTTACAAATAATGATATTTAATGTGCTGATAAAAGTGTCACTGATTAATGCTATCAACAGCTGTTTTTATCACTAAAATATCTTTTATTAAATTCTTCTATGAATTTTTTTTTATTTTTCTGCAATATAGATAAATTGATAATATATTGTGAAGTGAGATTGACTTCGTTTAATTTCATTTAAGTAAGAAATTAGAGAGCTATTAGCTTAAAAAAATTTATAATATAAAATACCTATAATATAGTATGTTGATAAAAAAAAAACTTAATTATATTTACACTAAAAAGGTAAGATTAGTTTTCAGTTTAACTGAAAAACTTGATTTGTTACATTTATATTTAAAAAATATGTAAATTTTTGTTTCTAAATATTTGAATTATTATAAGATATATATTATATGAATTACAAATGAAATTTAATTAAGTATTATGTGGTAAAAATTAATAAAATTTATGGATTTAAATTTTTTGTATTCCATAAAAGAATAAATAAATAAAAAAATAATACAAATGAACTTATATAATTATGTAAATCTATTAAAAATATAAATAACATAATAAGTGTACTAAAGCTATTAATTGATAATAGAATTATTTCTAATACATAAATGTATATTAATATGTAAGCTAAATAGATTTTATTTTAAAATTATATTTTTATTAATACAGGAAAGTTGGGAAGATATAAATGAAGAAAAAAAAGACGTTGAAAAACCAGCAGAAGTTTTGAAGGTTAAAGCAAAGCCTAAGAAAAATTTATCTGAAAAAATTGAAGAACGAGAGGTTTGTATAATCTAATGAAACTTTTGTTTTTAATTAATGATAAATAAAATTAAAGTAAAAAAAATAATGTAATAAACATTATGACAGAAAAAAGAACGAGAAGAAGAAGAAAGAAAAGTAAAAGAAAAGGATGAAGCCTTGACACCAGAAGAAAGAAGAGCTGAACTGCTCAGACGACAAAAATTACAAGAAGAAGCAGATCTCCGGCTTGCTATGGAAACTTTTGGTTTGTCAAACCTTGTAGACTTTAGTTGTCGTAAATCTCAAAAAGAAAAAAGTGAAAAGAAATAATATTAACTGTGTGAGATTTTTTTTCTTGCCATTCACTTGTGGACATTTCTCAAGTGATTGTAATTATGCATATCTCATTTGAATGTAAATTTAAAAAAACTAATTTTGTATTTTTAAACTTATAAAATATCTGTGATTTTTATTAATTCGAGATTTATAGGAATAAATGTGATTGCTTCTATTCAGTTTTATATATTTTTAGGAATATTTAATAATACTCATTGTAAAACAACATTCAATGTTAATGCGATAAGTATATACTTTGTTTACTTATTAAATTTTTTTAATATAATAATTTTAGAAAAAATTGTGTATCTTTATGCAATTTGTTCATAAATATATATATATATATTTACATGTAGATTTTTTATATATAATCATATGATTATGCTTTAATATTTTTTTCAATTAGTATACAATTTTTTAAAAAATTTCACTATTGGAATAAAATATTTTTGAGGAATTAACAAATAAATTTTCTAATAATTGTACATAATTATATATAATTATAATCATTGTGGAATAAATAAAAAATGGGTTCTTAGAACTGCAGTTCGTAAATATTTTTTTGGCACAACGGTAAGGAAATATGTATTTAAAAGTTATATCAATGTATAAGCACAAATGAATATAACAAATATATTTAAACAGTATTGTATACTATATATAAGATTAGTAGTTAATTATAAATGTTGCATTTCATTTAGTTATTTAATTTTAGCTTTAAAATGTTAATATAATCGTTTTTATGGTATCGGGAAAAAATTTGAATGAATTGCATTATGTACATTCAAGATATACGTTTATTATCATTAGTAATTTATTCATTTAGTTAATTCTGTATGTTAATAAAAATTATTATCTTATGACAATAAACCGTTGTGTCCAATTCAGTTCTTAAATAACCTTATTTTATATTTATAATTTATTGTTTGTGACAACCAAAGAAATTACAATTAATAATTTTATTAAATCAATTGTTAATTTAATACGTTTGAAATAAATTCTAATATTAATAAATTCATATGATACATATAAATTGTTTTAAATTTATAAATGACCATATATTTTTATATAATTAATTTTTATTATTTATTATAACGTTAAAATATTAAAATAAGAATGTACATATTACATTTTTAAATAAATATTTTTTATATTTTTTCATTATTAGTATTTTTTTTACATTTTTAAGTTAGTGAAATAAAATAATTTTAATGCAATAAATTAAATTATATTTCTTTTTATTTCTCTTTTAAAGGAGTATCAGAAGTATCAATGGGTATTGATGCTATGACACCGACGAATGCCAACGAATTTAAAGAATTTGGAGATGCATTGATAATGAAAATCAATCATTTTAATAAACATATGGATTATCTATTATTTGCTGAAGAATTAATTAAAAACGTTGCTCTAACTCGTGAGTAAACTATATATATTAATAATTTTTTAAGTTTTATAATTATATTCTATTTATATTTCATTTTCTACTAGTTAAAAGTAATATTTTGATTTTTTCCAATCAGTCACATTATTTTTAGACTATTAAACAAAAAATATTACATTAGTAATTATAATAAAACTTTGTTTTTATTAATTTTTAAAATTAATATAATCACTCTAATTTGAATAATTAAAAATATCTTTTATGTTAAAAATTTTATTTAAAATTGAATAATTCCGTTAAAATCACTTGATTTTTCTATTTTTAGTTCCAGTATCATCTTTAAGAAAAGTAAAAACAATAATAGAAAGTTTGCATACTGAAAAAATAAAAATGGAAAAAGAAAAAACAAAGAAGAATAAAGGCAAAGGTAAAGCAACATTAAGGATTGAAGGTAAAACTGATTATAATTTAAGTTCGTATGAAAATGATTACGATGACTTTATGTAGCGACTCCGTACGATTTTGTACATTCTAATTGCGTGCAAGTTTTTACAATTTTACTATACATATATGTGCTAAATTAATTACAAATTTTTATTTGAAAACGTAAACATTGTTTGCTATACAAATATGTAAAATTTACATTTATAACATCAATTTTATATTTAAAATGTGAGAACAATTTGTTAGAATATTAAATTGATGCTTTTTGATGTTGCCATTATTTTGTTATTATTATTTATTTTAAAAAGTTCATTATTAAAACAGTGTTAAAGTTTTATATTTACTTATTTAAAACAAAAATACAACTTATTTAGAAACATTGAATATATAAATAAAATATACTGTTAATTAATTTTTATAAAATAATTAATTTTAACATAAGTACGGCACAAATAAAACCAAAATAGTAAAAAAAAATTGTATTTTCGTGAAAAAATTTCAATATGTTGAAGTACTATAGTTAACTGAGCTTACTAATTATGAAAGAAATATATGTAAGTGCTTTAGATTTTGTTAAGAGAAAATTTGTATATAATATTTTTCCATTGATATCAATACATCCTGGTTCTATTAATAATGCTATCATGAAAGTTTCATTTTATTTTCAATTCAATACTCTTCATTAGTGAATTTACGAAACATTCATATATATTTTAATGGCCAAAAAAACTTTCATAGTAATATTATAAAAAAACTTATTGAGCAGATGAAAACAAAATAATTATAATTATATAGAAATGTACAATTACCAAATATTGATGATACATGTACTAAAATTATGTACAAACAATGTTTGGAAACATTAAATTAATAATGATCAAATTTGAAAATATATTTAATATTATTTGTCAGATTATATTTTGAAAGTATTTTTATGCTGAAGTTAAATTTAATACATTTAATTTTTTAGTTTTTTTTTTAAGGTAAAAATATAACTAATTCATTGTTTACTTTACATTAAAATTAATGTTTAATGTTCATTAAGTGACAATTAATTGAAATTATTTAGCTAGAAACTAGATAGCAGTGTGCTTGTTATACAAATAATATACTTTTGAAAAATTACTTATAAAATATATATATTTATGCCAAGCAGGATAAAAGCTGTTTTTCAAAAATGATTATATTTTAAAAAATTAATTTTTATACTTTTGAATTCAGAATATACTTATACAAAAGAATATTTGGTAAGTAACAAAACATATATTATATAATTACAGTTTTTAATTGTTTCTTAATGTTTGAAAACTAGTTTCTTTAAATATATAGTACATAAAATATTTGTATACATAATAAATTTACAAACGAATAAATGATCCAAAAATTGATAATTTAAATATTGTATATTTACAGAATTTATTTATAAACTTAACTTTAAATTAAATTGGTTCATGGATTTAAATTTAACTTTGCAGCTTCTTGTCTTATTACAGATATTAATTCTTGATTTATCAAAAAAATAAATCTTAAACCTGCAATCTAAACAAAAATATGAATTGAACCTATAAATAATTTATATTATTTTAATGATGCAGAGTAGTAAGAAAATAAATAAATATTATTTTCATTGCATTTCATTTTTATATTTGTTTTTTCCATTTATTCAATTTATTAATAATTAATTCTACAAGATTAAAAATTAATTTAATAATTTCAACACAATAATAAATACAAATAAATTATCCTAAAAAATTATAAGCTTCATAGATATATTGTTCAACATATATAATACATGTAAATAAGAAAGCAAATTAAAGATAATTATTTTAAATACATTTTATTTCGGATTTTTATAATTGTAATATGAACAAAATTTAATGTTTTTAACATTATAATATAATAACATTAATTATATTTATAATTTTATTTATAATTATACATATTTAACATTTTAATATTAATAATAAATTTGTAGTAAAAAACACTCTTAAATTTGATTAAAATTTACTTAATTATCAAAATACTTGAAATTACAAAAATTTAAATCTAAAAAAAATACAAAATAATAAAAAACAATAAATACAGGGTAAATTCTATTTTTTTGTAGGAATATATATATATATATATATATATTGTGTAATATTTGTATCTATTATTATATTCAAATTATATTGTCCATCCATACTATATTAATTTTAGAAGTTAGGCTTAATGCAAATTTCAAGAATTTGTTATATTTTAAATCTTTTTCTATTAATTTTTATATATGTATTAAAAAGTAATTGTTTATCTCTATATTAAAACGAAAATTAGTACAGTAACTTTACAATACAACATTTATTTTGAGATTTTACTACTCTGTTTACTTATTTATGAATTTATACCTCAATAACACTGTTGTTGTTGAGCTTCATTTTATTACTAGCAAGAATTGGTCGACTATCAACGAAAATTGGTCGCTTGCCTTCAGAAGATAAAAAGAAGTCTCCATTGTTTCTTAATCTTATTGTACCTTGACGTCGAGAAATTTTCCATGCTGGGCCTTCTAGAGTTAAATCGACATCTACACTGTGATCTTTTGTAGATCGACCAACAGTAATCTATATATACATAATTTTTATGTACAAACTAATTTTATTCAGAATAAACATTTTACTGATATTTTAGAAATATTAAAATAGTATTTAATATTTTATTTGCTTTAAATATCTAAATTAAAAGTTCAAATTAATTCATAGTTTGATTAAAAGAAATAAATTGCAGTTAAAATATTTAATAATTATTGTTTTTCGATATATTACAATAAATAGTATGAATTAATATGAAACATTTATAAATTATAATTTTTTATAATTCAACTAACCATTACATTGTATTTATTCGTCACTTTTACAACAAATACATACAATAAATCGAGCTGAAAAATATTCAAATTATACAATAAACAATCTAATCTTCGAAATTTTAAACAAAATAATTTAAATTATTAGTAATTTTAAATATATTATTAGATTTTTTTTAATTATATTATTTTTTTTAAGGTTGAAACAATTTTTGAAATAAGTAAAATCGTATTAATAAATTCAAGTTTTTAAATAAATATGACAATTTACCTCTCGTGACCTCATTAAATATCTAACAAGTCGTCCTCGCAATATTGCTAATGTTTGATTATCGAAATCAGGTTGATTGCTTCCAGTGACATTATCAACAAGAACTTGCCACCTTCCTAACTCATTTTCTAATATTCTTATTTCCTTCTTATTCTTTCTGTCCATTATCTGCAATTCTCCATATAGAATTTCATCTTTTTGATCAACTAATTCAGAATCATTGATCATATCCTCTGCATCTGAAAAATTTAAAACACTTTCACCTCTAGGCAAACTTTGAACAGTTTGATCAGGAAGAAGATGATATTGTTTCATTAATTGCCAATGAGCCAATAATGATTTTGGTGTTCTTGCAGGATAAAAAGTTTGACCATTTATTTCTAAAAGATTGTGGAAATCTTCTAAATTTGGTTGTGAAATCTAGAATGAAGAAATGTATAAATGAATATAATATAATATAATATACGTCAAGGTACAATAAGATTAAGAAACAATATATATATATATATATATATAAATATATTTTTTTTTATTAACTTGAAAATAAAAATAATTTCAATATTTCTATTAATACTTTAAAGTACTTAGAATCGAAATTCTTTTAATCTTAAATACCATTTATATATCTTTTCTATTATTTAAATTCTTTCCTTTATTATTTAAATATAGATTGATCGATTATTATTTTATTTATTATAAGATGTAATTATTTTAAATATAAAATTCGTTACTTACTAATAAAAAAATCTTGAAATATAAAATAAACGATTACTTGAAATATTTAATAGCATTGGATCAAAAATATATTATAACATAATTTAAATGTTAAATAAATTAAATGATAATATGAAATTTTACATTAATTTAATGTACTTATGAGATATACTATTTATTTTATTTATTTTTAAAATGATTATGATTGATTTTTAAGAATTGTAAAAACAAATACATACAGATTTAATTGTTCCCAAAAGATCTTCTTCATTTTTGCTATATAACGTTCTTGACTGAATACTTGCAATTAGTTCAGGATGCAAATTTCGCATTGCTTGTACAGCTATACGAGATACTGCACTATCGTATAATAAAGCATACCATCTTTGTTGAATTTCCTGTAGAGTAAAACGACATGAAAATTTTGTTCCTCGATGTACCTATAAAGAAAATAAAATTCCTCAGCATTCTTATCTTTCATAATTATGTTTTTAATATAATAATTAAATATTTATTTTTTATATATATACAAACCATTCTTAAATCATTTGTTTGTTGAACACAAGTTATAAGTGCTAAGTCGTCAGTTGGCTTCCATCGCCCTAGGTCTTTTGTAGCATTTATCGAATGGGGATGATTTTTATTTTTCTTATTTTTTCTATTATTTCCACTAGAACCTGTAGGTCTACTTGGTCTGCGATTAGTGCGGTCTAGATGAGGAATTACAACAGATGTTGACAAACTCGGAAGAGTTTGTGCCGATAAAATATCTAATCCAGATGAAACTGATACAGTTCGTGATCGGGGATTAGATTTGGTAGTTGTAGTAGTTGGTTGTAGGTTAAAAGTTGTTTCTACTAACTCGTCGTCAAATTTTTTTCGCTTTATTGTTCGGGATGAACTATTTAAAAAATTGAATAATTTCAATTATTATATATTATAAATTTTAAATGGTAAATTTAAATGTTTTAACCTTCTTCTTTTTGTTCCCATTGAATCTGAAGATGAATCCATAGGTAAATTTAATGCCATAATTGTATGTGAACATTCGGACAAGCCTACAAATAAAATTACTATACAAATTAGATAAATTCTATTAAAAACTTTTAAATGTAATGTTTGCAATATTTATTGTCTTCGTTTGCTTTAACTTTCTATTGATTTAAAAAAAGTGTACATCATTTAAGAAAATTAACAAATTGATTAATTCATGTTCCGTAATTTCTCCTGCCTGAATTTTGTGCTTTATGGTGGTTGGTTATTTAAATGCATGCAACTTGCATTGCATTGAATAAACGGAAGTCAAACTGTGGTGCGAAATCTACAAAATATTTTGTATATGATATATATTATTACTAATATTAATTCCAAATATTCAAAAATATTCTAAAAATATTAAAAATATTTTATAATAAATATTAATATAAACATATGTTTCCTTGTTTATATTATACTTTGTATGTATACGCTTATGAATATGTTTATTAAATGAATTTAGGTATATAAAGGATATGTGTAAATATGCATAATTGTACTATTAACAATAATACAAATTAAATTATTTTAATTTCTTTTTATGTTTTTCTAAATATGTATATACCAATGTGTATATGCATATGCAGATTCAAATATATATATAAATTTTATGTAGGTTTGTTAAAAACATTCCTCGTTAATATTTGCAAATTTAAAAAAATGAAACTACTTAATACATCATTCTTCTTTTATTTGATACATTTTATATCTGATATTATATTATAATTTTTTATAATATAGTGCATTATTCTCAATTTACAAATTTTTTCAGAATTTTTAAATATTTTTGAAAAAATTTTATAAAAAATTGTAATAATTTTTTTATTAGAAAAATTTTGCCATAATAATTCTATTTAAAAATTTTCCTAAATAGTAGAAATAAATAGTGTAATTATTTTGGTGTAAATAAATAGTGTAAATTAATCTTTTCATAATAATAATTTTAAATAGATATTTAAACGAATAGTAAATAATATATATTTACTGAAAATTTACTTATTTATATTTTATAATTAATTATTAATAATATATATCTTGTTTTAATAATAAACAAATATCCATTTGGATCTAATGGTCGAATGTTTTTTTAATTTTGCGCCAGTATTTGGCTCTTATTTTGATATGTCTCCTTTGCTTAATTACCTTTTTTTTTTTGAAAAAAAAAATTATGTGGGTCAGATTGAATGCTTAATTATAAAATTTATACACACATGAAAAAAAAATATTTTGAACGTCCTTTACTTTTTATGGGTTAGAATAGTTATGTTTACTATGTAAAACATAACAAAAATATTGGCAAGTATCATTAGCAGTCTTGAGTCAGCGTTAAACCATTTATATAGAGCACCACAGATAACGATTACTATACGTTAGTATAGAATGTGCGAGTTTGACAAATTTACTTTTGTGGTTCCATTCAAATAATCTCTGTATTTCTCATTAGTGGATCTTTTCGCAATCTTAAAAATCTAAGTACATTATTATCTCTTTTGTCATTATTCACTGAGTATAAAAAATGTACTTTTTAAAGACTACTTGATAAAGATATAAAGCTGGATTTTTTAAATATATGCCAAAATATTCATTTATGATCAATAGAATACTTAAAATAATTTACTTATTATTTTAAATTCTGTTTTGAATTGATATTGTGAAAATATGTATTTTTATATATTTATTAATTAAGATTAATTTTAAATTATATATTTGAAAATTTAATTATATGTTTATACTATTTATTATAAATAATAAATCCTATATAAAGTAAGTATAAAATTTTTTTGATTTATCATGTAGTTACTTTTAAACAAAATTAGTAAGATTATTGTAATATTTATATGCATAGTTCGAATTTCAAATTAAGTCAATAAATTAATATTTCGACGAAGTGTCTCATAAATTCGTATCTACTATACTCTTTGTATCTATTGTTTAATAGAAATAATAAGATAGTTAACTATAAAACGAGTATTTATTTAGTTAAAAAAGATTGTTTAGGGTAAGATGCTTTTATCAAATATATTAAACTTGGTATTTTTGTACTTTGGGGTAACCCTTGCTACTTGATCAGATTAGGCAATCAGGGTGAATCTATTCATGAACAAGGTCGTTTTATTATATTTACTTTTTTAAGCATATATCTTGTCAGTCTTCCTCCCTTATCGTCTGTTCTTGTAGTTTTAAGAAAGAATGCAATTGGGTGTACTCTTTTTCTCTATATATGACATACTATGTTGAAATTACTTTTTTCTGAAAATTAAGGCAGAGATTATAAGGTACATACTATTTTATGTGACAGTATCGCTAGTTTTTTTATTTGTTTGATTTGTTATTTCTGCATCCTTTAAATCTTTATATTCAGTTTTTATTGACTTAAGTTATCTTTGACTGATGTTAAAGTTGCAAATATCAAATATCAAATATTTAAATATTGAGTTCCACTTAGATTGGTTAAAATATAATGTTATTTATATATAATCCAGGAAGTATCTTAACTCTGTATGTCATTGATCTTCTCTTTTATTTCCAATTTCTTTTTATCTCCCATTTAACAGTAACTCTCCATATTATATGATTAAAAAGGTCTACTTTTAACACAAAATTCTTGATGGGACTGGAGTTGTAGTAAAAGTTTCTATATGCCCATCCTTATAAGAACAATGATATTGTAATCTTAGTATAATAATAAATTTTTTGTGATAGTAGATCTTTATTTTAAAAAATAAATAATTTTTATAAAGAGTATTTTAAAAATATGCTGGTATAATTTTGTTATAACTTGAAAAGATTTCATAAATTAGTTATTGTTATTATTACTTATTTATTGTTTTCTTATTCTTATAAAGGAATATTGCTTTTTTTCTTGTTTTTGAGAAGGCTTTTTAGTTTGACAATATATTCAAATATATTTAACAGTATAATTGCTCATTAATATAGTCATTAATAAATTTGGTAAAGTACTACAAGTAGATTTTGTATTAATTTTTCAATTCAAATTTTTGTTTTTTGTAATTGGCCAATTTATGAATATTTTTATTTACAATTATTAAAATGAGAGTATATGATTGTTTGTACTAATTTTGTGAAAGCATGTTTAAAAACATAATTAATCTTTATTCTTGGATACATAATATCAAGTTTAATATTGTAAGATGATAAATATAAAACGTAGTTTAAAAACGTTAATATATAATACATTGCACAAGCAAAAGTAATACATTTTTAGAAAAAAATAAACAATAATTTTATACGCATTTTCTTGTACAGTATGAGTATTATTTTTAAATTTATACTATAAAAGAATTTTTCTATCTCAATTCCTAATTTTATTCATATAAATATTAATTATTTTAACAGGTTGTTAATCTGAACTTATCATATTAAGAGAAAAACATTCATAAAAGCACAGAGCGTGTTAATTCGTTAGTTAATAAATGAATAATTATTATTCTAAATAATTGAGAAATTCAACCTTTTAATCATTATTGATTTCACTTATAAAATACAAAAATGTAAATATGAGTTTTTATGCCTGATAAATAAACCTGAAACAATAGTTTTTTTTTAAATTAAATTCATTTGTTTTAGTTATACATATGTTCATCATCAAAATGTTTGAAGTAGATGTAACAATCCAATTGAACCATATGCTCACATAAAAAATAAATGAATAAATACAAAAAACTGTTACTCATATAAGGACACATTGGCAAAGCAAAAACGAGCAAGAGTCATTGATGTAGTAAATTGGTTATGTTCATCGATCACTCATCTGTATTAATTATATAATTAAGAGAATTTTACATAATTAAACATTTTAAAATATTGATCAAATTATTTAATATAATTAAAATTCAATTTAATAATTTTTATACATTCACTGATGATATTTGTATTGTTATGATACATTATTGCTAAATTTAGATAAAATTGAACAACTGCAGGTGAAGATATTACAATATTCAAATTTCCAAACATAATTATTATAACGAATGGAATGACAAAAATGTCATGTATATATGGAAAAATTTTTTTAATATAAGAATTTATCAATTTGATGTAGCTAATAAAATTTCGAGCTAATGCTGTATTATTATATATTAATATTCATTGTACTCAACATAGATGTGATCATTTGTAATTTGCTTACAACGTAGCACGGACAATTATTAGTGACCAGATTCACATATTTTTATTAAAATACCCTGTCTTGTACATTTGCATATAAACAAACACATTATATATATATATATATTTTTTTCTATTATTGTATATATACATTTAAAATGGGTGACAGTGTAGACATATTATTAATTATATTAAATTAATTTATTATTTTGTCATATTAGGTTACTGAGAAACTGAATTATATATAATTTGAATAGTAATTAGAAAATGGTATAAAGTTAAAATGCTATTATCATTTTTATGTATTAAAAATTTTTATTTTTGTATTGTTTAAAAAAGTTAAATAACAATTATCACAAATTATTTAATTATTTAATTAAAAAACCGTAATAAAATTATTTACATTTAATGGTACATAGCATACATAGAATACATAATTTTTTTAGTTTTTATATTGCAGTACTTTCTTGTGATAAAGCAATAAAGATTAATGAATTATATATTTGTATAGGAAAATTCGCTATCTTTTACAATTTTAATACTTACGTAATATATATTAAATTGTTCCAACAATAATATGAATAAAGAAATATTTCTTAACATAAAACTTAGTCACACTAATATTTTATATATTTCTTAAATCAAATTTTATTGTAATAAACTGAAATAATCGCAAATTTTTATTATAATAGATGACATTTTTTATTAATATTCCTTGGTAATATGAATATATTTTTTGTTTTTACGTTAATAATATTAATATTTATTTATTTATTTTGTACTGAAATTTATTGATTTTTTACTTAAAAAAGTATGTATTGTTATAAATTCAAATTTATACTACAAATAAATCAGTTTGAATGCCTTGTATATATGTGTTTTAATTTCTCAGTATCGTTTAAAATGCTATTTTGAACATTCTATTTACTATTGGAATCCAATGGTTTTTGTCAGCTCCAAATACGTCCAAACAATAAATCATTTTAAATGGCCTAATATCTAAACGTTAAAATTTAATATTTAAATTCAATTCTTATATTTTGCCCTTATAAAATCATATTTTCTATCATTTTTCTTTATTAGTAATTTAAATAAATCGTTTTAAATTATAGTATAATCAATAAATTATTTTCTAATTATATATCATCATTGAATTTAATTTATATATTAGTAAAATTTTTTATTGTTTTGTATTAATTTAGGTTTTAAAGTTCATTTTCAATATTCATTTAAGGAATTTAAAATATTTAATTAACATCTCTCAATTCGTCTAATTTTTTTCTTTAAATGGTACAATTTAATAATCTTTCTTGAATTTTGTTACATTCATTAAATATAATGATTAAATCGTATTTTGTATAAATAAGTACGAGATTTTTTAAATGAAAAAGTGTTATAAGTAGTGTCAGTATAAAAAATTAATAGTGTTTAATTAATTTTTTTTATTAAATATTTTATTCGCAAATAAAGAATAAGTCTAGAAAAATCTTGTCTCATGTTTAGATTATAATCCCTAGTAATATTAAATATGATTGTAATTTTAAAAAAATAATGAAAATGTATTTAACAAATAAATAATTCTTAAGACTTTTTATAGTTATTTCTATAATTGTATATTTGATTGCGTAACTTTATCAACATTTATTATTTTTGTGCATAAATTGTTTATCTAAACGTAAATAAATCCATTATTCATTAGATTAATCAAATTTAGAAAAAAATTTTTTTAATATTCAATTTCGCGTTATAGTAAATGTAATAATAATTAAAAATAAGATATCAACAATCTCTTACTTTTATAAAAATCAAATATTTATAATTAGTCTCGACAGTGGCAAACACTTTCCTAGAATTTTGTTTAAAATATTATTTATTTTAGTAAATTAATTGATTAAAGATATTAAATATTCTATATTTTTAATTTTGCTTTAACTTTTACCATTTTTATCATTTTTAAATATATTATTGAAGAAAGAAAAATCTTATCGGTAGTAACAGCTTTTTGTATAAAGTTGAGGTGCAATTGTATAAAATTGTTTTTGTAAAAATAGATTTTTTAAATATTGCTGATATAAAAGTTTATTTCATTTGTACATAATGGATCACTTGGAAAAATATAAACAATCTTTATATAAATTGATGTAAACTGTGCTTTTTAAAGTAAAATATGTTTACAAAATTTTGATTATAGAAATAATTAAAAAAAATTTTGCAATTACTGTTTATTGAAAGTTTATTTAAAAAATTATTTTATAAATTAATATATTTTACAAATTCTTCATTATATTTTCATATTAATATAATAAATAATTATTAGATAATTATTTTAGAATTGGACCATAAAATTATTAATAAATTGTTGATGTAATTTTAATTAATTACTTATTAGATGCATTTTAAGAATTTATTTTAATTAATTTTATTAATTAATGAAATTTAAAATAAATTATCTTTTCTTCTTATTTGAAATATCATTCATAATTCTAGCATTTTCATCTATGGTAGAATAATCAATTCGAGTTTTATCAACTGGATATAACCTTTAAAAAAATATTTTATTTATTTAATTGATGTATTAAAATTATAAATATATGTACATACATGTCATAAAATTAAGCTATATCTGTAATTTGAATTAATATAATATTTTTTCTAATACATACGAAATATCCTTATTTTTAATGAATTGTAATATTAAGCTTTTTTGTTGATATATAAATCTTAAGACTCACCAACGTTGATAAAGATAAACAAGAAAAACTGCATCATCTCTAAAACATGCTACTCTGTGAACTACTGGCATTGTGATAATAAATGCAAATACATCATCAATAAAAGTATTGAAGGCTTTGTACATAAATGATCTCCAGGGTAAGTGAGCTACAGATTTTAGTTTATAATTAACAAATAATTGTGGTAACATAAAAAGGAATCCAAAAGCATATACACCATTAACTAAGGAATATATACACCAAGAGTACCAACTGCAAGTATTTATGTATTTATATTTTTTAAAGGTTTCACAGTAATCGGTTATTATCATAAAATATGTTTTATATTACCTTTTGTGTGGTAGATATAGAAGAGAATATATTGCACCTAATACAACCAAAGGATATAATAAATAACTAAGATATCGCATACTTTCTATGTCGAATTCTCTTGTTATCGATTCAACAGATGAACATTTGTTCCAATTAAATATTATTTTAGGAAAATAACGTTTTTTCCAAATAAATTCTGCTTTTAAAATTTTTTTTGTTTTCCAAAACTTTAAAAATAATTAATATATTTACACATATATAATTAATACTTTAAATAATAGGTTTTATTAAAATAGTAAATATAAATAATATAAATTATATCTAAAATTTTTATGTGAATTTGAGAAATCTTATATTTAATTTAATAATATTAACATTTAACAATATTTTTAAATTATAATTTTTTTCTAGCTTTGTAGTATAGTACAAAATTTTCGTTTATTATTTTGGGCATTTCAATTATTTCAGTTTGTAAATATTTTCAATGTTTTTGTAAATATGCGTATAAAAACATATTCAGTTTTAATAGATATTAAAAAAAATCTTTCCGGCTTTCAATGAAGGTGAAATGTGAGTTTTACGTAATAAGTGGTCTCGCAAGTCCATATTACGCATTAGTGTTTTTATAACAGGAATTCTAAATGATTATTATTTTAAACGTTGTTAACATGGTTCCTCCACGTATATAGATAAGTGAAAATTGTCGCAGAACTAAGGTATTATACTTGGATGGGCTTCTATTAAATAACACTATGGATTTATAACACTATGGATATAAACATTTTGGATATATCTCTTTGTCTAGTAAATGGAAATGCATCTCAATAATTTATTCATTATTACAAGGCATTTTTTAATGTAGTACATATAGTAGAGTTGAATAATATTACTAGTATGGATAAAATAATCTAAACAACTTGAGAAGCTTAACAGAGGGTAGGAGTAGCTAGTGGTGATTAAGGATCCATAGAAAAGTATAATAGAAAAAACGGATGTGGCACTCTCAAACCACTTACTATACCATAATTCCAGAAACAAAATTCTTCTAATCTATATAATTGCATAACAATTTGTTTAACTTTAGGTAGAAATGGAATCGGATAGTAGTTATATTCAATCTAATATGAAAAATTATTATACCAAAGATTAACGATGAAATAACCCTTAGGAAAATTAAAAAATATTCTAAAGATTATACCAGAGAGTGTTTCGACTACCCATATTGTTCGAAATTTTTATGGCTAACGAGTTTCAGTAGCGAATAACAAATTTCAATTGCAAAGATCAGTTGAACAAGAAGATTTGAAATAAACATAAGAAAACATCAGCTAAGCAAGTATTGATTATTTTTATTTACGCGAAAAATTAACAATAAATTAGTCATAAGTTAATAACTGAAATAATAGAATGATAGTGGAGACATTTTTTATATATAAAGGACTATCCTTTTACAAAGGTCGTTGTAGTTAAGCATTATGAAATTAGGATATTATAGTAAATCGTAATTAGTACATAGTATGAATTTATTAATATGAAAATTTTTAGTGTTCATTATTCATAACGGTGTATGTTTTTTAAAACAAAGTCCTATTAAAAATATGTTGTAAAGGATAAATTGTTACCATTATCATAAAAGTACCAAAGGAAACTTTCGTTACCAATTGCATCTGTGTATGAATTGGAGGCAGAAGCATTTTAAAAATATTATTAGAGAATTTAAATATAACCAACTAGATTATATGTTGATGAAATGCAAAATTGATTTTTTTCGTCTACTTACAAATATTATGTATACTAATATTATAAAGACATATAAAACGATAAAATGAAAAATAAAAAGAACAAATTATACATTAATAAAATAAATCATACATTTTTGTAAAAACCTTTACAATATATAAAGATGTCAAAATTCAGAACACGAGTAATAGAGGTTTAGAGAAAGAGAGAGAGAGAGAGAGAACGAACATTTTAAGCTAATCGGCTCTTATTATCATCAACAAAGAAGATATTATAATCAAATTTATGTTTCAAATCATATACATTTAAATGTGATTGTAACACAGAATTATAAGTAAATGTCTTTATAATATATATACCACGTCTAATAAACAAATATTAAAAAATATCGTTATATACCACACCTTTATAATGTATCACGTATCAGAATCGAAAAATAGAGAGAAATAAATATATTCGTTAGTGAAAAAGGCAGTTGCGTTTTATACAAAATGTGATATATTAAAATGAAACGATATTATAAGGTGAATATAAAATGTATTAATCATTGTAAAATATATTCGGAATAAGGACTTGTTAACACGAGAGATCTAATTACAACAGTCTACTATAAAAAGTAATAATGCATTAAAAATGATGTGGCATAAGCACAATCATTTTATCAAAAATCTACCGAATAAAATATGCAAAATGATTATTCCGATTATAGGAATATTTAAAGTAAATTCACATAATTTTGGAATATAATGTGGGAATATAATAATACTCAGATGTTTCCAAGTCAATTAGGAGTAAATTGGGAAGCCAGGAGCAAACAGTTTACACAAAATTATGAACTCTTTACCGTATTCTTAGGACAAAATTAAAGTCATAATAGAATACAATAACAAGATAATTTTTAAAATATACTATTACTAAGTACTTTTTCTTGTCTGTTCATAATTAAGAGTTTCTGTGGACTCTGGATAACATTAGTATAAACTATCGTGATATATAAAGTATGGAATGAATCAATTTAATTAAAATCAATGTAAGTAATGAGAAATCTTGAAAGCTAATCTCTTAATTTATTCATTGCTAGAAAAAAATTACAAAATAAATATTCTCATAAAATTTTAGAATTTAATAGTTAGAGTCAACTGAATATATATCTTCATTTTAATACCATTTATAAACATTTATATTACTATCTTTTTCAATAATTGATTTATTTGTTATTTTTAGACATCCTTTTACTTTTTTCTCAGAATGCAAAAATAAAAAAATATATATTTATAATATTTTCTAAAATTAAGGTTACTTAAGAAATACTTATAACTTTTACTTTGAAATTATTTCAGCTCAGCTGTGATAATATTAACAAAATTTAATCATGAAGGTACATTCTTATAATTAATTTTCAGAAATAAAAGGTTTTTATATAGTCTCAGAAAATTGGTATTAAAACGAATTATGTGTAAATTATAACTTTTACCTCTATCATAGTGCCAACACCTGTGGGTATTAAAACAAGTAAAGAAGATCCTTCATCAATCAGATAAAGAAATATTATTGCTTGACTAAAAGCACGCCAAAGTATAGTTTGCATACTTAGACCAGCGAGATTATTTTTACTTCTCCAAAAACTTACATCATTTTTGAAGGCAAGAAAATCAAACAGAAGCTATAAATTGAATTTTTTATGAATATACATTTTCTTATACATTAAATTTTTAATTTTATGTTTATTTCTATATTTTACAAAAAAATATTATTAGTTAAATTAAGTTATAAAACTTGTTGGGGATTTATAAATTCAAACAATTTATATTTATGAGAAAAACAAACTATTAAAATATAAGCTTACATGCATTGCTGATATAAATACTGTTCCAGCTAAGAGATATAAATTGGTATCTGCAAATATGCCTTTTACTTCATCAATATCTTTATCAGTGAAATCAAGTTGTTTGAAACTCTGCATGGCAGCTTCAACATGTAAAATTAATCTAAGCTTTCCAATAGATATTGGTGCATATGAGACAGTTATATTAATGCTATGGGTATTTTGTGTAATTTTAATTAGATCTTTATTTCTTGTATCCAAAAAGTTATAATTTAACAGTGGCAAGAACTTATAGTCTTTGGAAAGTCTAAAAATATAAAATAAAATTATAATATATGATTTAATTAGATTTAGACATTTGTTTTATATTATTTAATATTATTTAAGTAAATAATATGTACCTTAGATTATTTGATAACTCTATTGGTATATTATTTAATGGAAGCTTAATTTTATCAGTCATTATCATGAATGTTATTCTACTTTTTATATGTGAAATGGATTGACTTAAATCTTTCTTTTTTTCTTTATCTTTTTCATCTTTTTCTTCACCTAATAAATTAAATGTTTCTGCTTGTGGAATAGCATATTCAGTCATTTTAATAGTAATATAAACAGCATTTTGATCCTTGAAAATTAATTTATTTATCAATTAATAAAATTTTGATATAAATTTAAAAATTATTTCTCATTATTCAACAACTTTGATATTTCCAACTTACATTAACTAATTGATTAAATTGTTTTATTTGATTTATAGACTTAGGTGATAGGATTACATGTAAAAATAGAGTACCATTGTATCTAGTCTTATTAGGAATTTTTAGTGTTAATGGACTAAAATTAAAAATAAATTAATTAAAACAAATAAAAAGTAATTTAATATTTTATTAATCATATTATATTTTATATATTCTATATACGTACATGTCTTGATCATGCATGTAATCAAATTCTGTATTTGTATAGACTTTTATAACTTCTGTTCTTAAGGGACGACTCATAGTGGATATAAACAAGTTTAATTGTAATTTTGGATTTTGACATAAATAAGATTCACTGCAATACTTTTCATTTGTGCATAATGGTGGAGTAAAGAGTAAAGATACTGTGTAAATTGAATAAGAGATATATGCTATAAATACCCCACAGAGTATTAGGCTAAATGATGGCAACTGCATATTATTTATTTATTTAGTTATGATCATTCTCAAAAATTTATTATTTTTTAAATAAAATTTCATTAGCTAAAGATTTTAATACTATAATAAAACTAAAATATTAATAATGCAAAATTCTTTATAATATGAATAAATATTTACATGTATGGATATGTATAAATTTCTTTTATTAAAAAACGCAAATATGATCAAATATGCACTTTTATTTATTACATAATATTCTCTTATTATTTTTATTTAAACGTTTATATAATTATTTCTGTTTGACTTGTTAGCTAAAACATATGTTAAATTAAACTTGTTTTTGTATTACAATTTTATTAGATACGAATTATGTATATGCATAGAGTATATAGATGTTAATGATATGCTGTGGTATGATCAGCAATTTACCAGATAAAAGAAATTAAACGAGGGATTGCTAATACAATTTTAATACAGTTTTATAAATTTATTAGATTTATATGAAATTGATTTTATCCACTCAAACAGTTAAGAGAGAATATACAAAAGTGAGAGAGTACATAAAATACAAAATTTATATCTTTGTGTAATTGAAGTAGTATTGGAGGAAATATGTATACTTGACTTAGGTTAGGCTTTGACAATCCAATTCTTATAGGTGTTTAGTTAACACGCAATATAAAAAGGTGAAAAGAAAAAAAAGTATTATCGAAATGAATTTAATGATATATCCATTATTATTTATCTAAAATTTAAAAAACAAATTGATGATTTTTATGCCTTTGCACGAAATTGTATACATTTCTATTACTTATTTACATAGTATTTTTTACACATTATGGGTAATTTCTTTATTATAAATTTCATAATAAATAATCTATGAAAAATTGATATTTATAGGAATCAGAATTTTTATATTTTGTACAATAGAAGAAAAATATATAATGCATTAAGTTACTTAAGTAAATTTTTAAATGATTTTATTGTTTTTTTCGATTTAAATTTAGTCCTTCGTGTCTTTCTACATTTCCAGTGTACATTTGATTTTGCTTCGTTTGCAATCTATATCTAGACTTCAATTAACTACTTTGCCTTTTTTATTTTTTTATTTATTTTACCTACTATAATTATAATTTTATTTATATGTTAATATATTTTTTTTACTAATCTTCGTGTACTATTTATATCATAAATTAATTCTTATTTAAAAAGCTTACATACTTATAATTTAAAATATATTAATATTATATTTAATTACGCTATAAACAAGTTTATTAATAATTACAATATGAATATTATTATTATTAAATTATTATTATTAAATCAATTTTAAAACTTCGAGAAAGTAACTTTGACTATTATATTTTAAAATCGAAAAATTTAATTATTAACAAATTTTTTTAATTATAATAAGAAATTAGAATTATACTGTAACTATTGACTAAAAGAATTTAATAAAATCTTTATTAATATAATCTTCTAATTATTATTTATAAATAATATATTTGTCACTTTAGATGCCTTAATAGTAATATTCTTTTCTATAAATAAATAATTATCTAATATTTACCTTTTTAATTGAGTCGATATATAGTAATGAAACGTTTAATATTATATTTTAATTTATTATAATATATTTTTTTATTTTACGATTGCATAAACCTTTCAATTTTTTGTATCAATTTGTGCTTACAACATATAATTAATAATAATATTTAATAATAACTTTTAATGACAAAGATTCATAAAAATATATTTAATACAGAAATAGAACCAGTAGCTTAAAGGACTGCTAATTAATAATTAATAAATGAAAAAATACGTACATATAGATAATTACTTTATAAGATATAACTATATAAGTTTAGAATTCATTGAATTTATTTCAATAATTTTATCATATTATTTTATATTACTGTTAATTTTAATTTAAAAATAGAATCATTAAATGTAAATATTAGCATTTACTACTCTCTGAAATCAGTTTCGTTATAAGCTGCTAACAATATAAATCCCATTAATTAATGGTATATTCATTAAAGTGGACGTTTTTCACGTATTTGTCGCATGCGCACTATTAATCTATCTTGATTGGTTTATTTGGAATACTTAATACGTAAGTTTTAAATTCCATAAAAACTAACAAAAGGAATAATACCTTAAATTTGTTATCATAAGCCAAATTAAATTTATTTATAAGTTTTGTAACTTGAAGAGTTTGAACGTAATTATTAATTAAAAAAAAGTTGTTAACAAGAAGTGCATATATAAACTTTTTATTTATATTTTAAACGTAATATTTATATACTTTATTAATAAATTTTTTTTTACAGTTCTTATTATATATTCAAACAATAATAGATCAATGTTAGTCATACTCAGAAAATATATGATCTTTTAAAGATCTAGTAATAAATATTAAAAATATCATGTTTGTTATTATGGATAAATTATATATAAGTTTCATTCCAAATTTGAAATTCGTTTAATCTATTTGAAGCTGGAATTTTTAAAATTCAGAAAAAAATGAAATATTTATTAATTGAGACTTGTAATGATACCTTATAATGATATTTTATGCTAATTTTATGTAATTTAATATTCTATAATTATTGAAAGATATAAAATTCTATAAACACGCACAATTGCCACATTGTTTAACTTATAAAAATCAATGCATTAAATTAAAAATAAATTTTTAGTTATCATTTATTAACGAATATTTCCGAACTTTTTAATTAAAATTTATTTTATACCATATAGTAGGTATCTGTGATAGCGTACATATCTTCATAATTATATTACATAATTATTATAAGAATAAACAGAGTATAGATAGGATATTGAATTCAAATGTACAGCTTCATTATGTATTGATGAATTAGACAGGAATATTAAGATCATCACAGATCAATAATTAAAAGTTACTAAATAGTAATGATTTATGTATTAATTTAGTGGCTATTTTTAAAAGAAAACTTACGTACAATATATAATATAAAGGTTTAGTTAATAATGCTTGTCTCAGTATAATATTAATCTCTAGAATAAATATTTACTAAATAACGTATAAAATATAATGTATTTATTAATTTATCCGAAAAGAAATTGGAAATTTATATTTATAAAAAATATTTGTTCATATAAAATGATTTTTTGTATATACCTACCGTATTTTTATTATCGAATATTTACAATAATAAATTTCCACTGATATAGTATAGTATTTTTAAAATTTTTTATATTTTTTATATTTTTATATCTTTTATAAATATGTGTATAAAAGTATAAAATTTTAAATTTTCACACTAGTAGTGTGATATTTATTATTATTGTGTGTAATATATTTGTATTGTAATATATTTAATATGTATAATAATATATACATTATTATAGTGTGATATTTATTATTATGATATAATATTCTAATATATATATATATATATATATATATAGGTCATTTTCAATAAATTGTAATTTATATTTCATTTTCTAATAATTATGTCTATAGTTATATCTTATTTTAATACATTTATTTAATACATTTTTTAATACATGATAAGTAGTTTTCGTAAATAAATATTTCAAATAATAGTTTCTTTTTATACATGATCGTTTACTTTTTTAGATTTGTAGGCTATTACATATATAAATATAAAATACTAATTTCAATCTATTTAGAATTAAATATTTAACGTTTTTTATTATTTAACGTAATTTTCTTAATTTCATAAAACTAAGTTTTCTTTATTAATTTATATAATTTAAATATTTACATAATTTAATTTTTATCTATTATTTGCAGTATGCCAAGTTAAATTATATCGTTGTTTTTATTTTAAACATTAAAAGAATCAAAATTTTATTTAATTTAATTTCAGTTCAAAGACAATAAATAAATATAGATACATAAAAATTGTAATATGTATCCGATATTGTCTTGAACTTAGTAATATTAAAATTGAAATGAAGATTTATATTCTGTTGATATCAGTTTATTAAATTCTGTATTCAAATATAATAGTTATTAATTAGTTGAATAGTTTCATATAAGTGCAAAATTAAATATACTTATAATAAATTATAAATATATGCTTTATCTTGATTTTTATTTAGATTGGAAGAAAATATTTTCAATTCAACTTTTGTATTTCTAAATCAAATTTTTAGTGTTTGCTTACGTAAACCATGAATTTTTATTTTATAAGTATTTTCAAAATGGATAATATTATTAATTATTATACCATTCAAATGACATTTCATATTGTATTTTATATTTTACTAAATTTTAGAATTCTATAATTAATGTGTATAAAAATATAAGAATATATATATATATATATTAAGTTGCTTCGTTTTAAAATTAACTTGACCTTTACTACGATTATATTAGTATCTGGAAAATCCAGTTGACGGTAATCGTAACTTAGAAAATAGAAAATATTTATGCTCGTATACCGTACTTTTATAACATTGGTTTTTCCTGATTGTACGTTAGCAAGTATTTAATTATCTATGCTTAAAGGAATTTTATTCATTTATAATTCTTTGATTAATTTTTATGGTATGTCCATAATTTATTAAACGCTAGAAAATATGAAATGTATTTACATTCAATTTTTTTTTTATAAGTATAGTTTATTTTTTAGGCAATATGTTTATAAAAATAAAATAAATACATTTTATATAAATGAATAAGAAAAATCAAAATGTCATATTAATAATTATTTTTAAATTATGATAATAATAAAATATACCATACTACTAGCATTAATCAATATCATAAAATTAGTATTTTGTAACGTTATAATGAAAAAACTGCAAGTTTGAATAAATATATACAATTCTTAAAAAATAATCTTATTTATTTGATTGTAATTAAAGAAAAGATTTGAAAATTTGAAAAATAAAAGATTTCATAGTTTAGATTTGTTGAAATTTTAAAATTAATTTATTTACATTAATACCTATATAATTATATTTATAAATATAATAATGATTAATATTTAGTAAGCAATATTAAAATTAATCACGAATGAAGTATTTCTAAAAAATTAATTTATATATAAAACTCAGTAATAAATATTATGTTAAAATTATATTAGAATACAAATTTATTCACTTACTACGTATTAACCTAGTAAGTACTATTAATTAAATTGTGGATTTGAAGATTAGTTTTTATAAATAATTATCAATTATATTAATAAAATACAATCTATTTTTTGTATCATTTATAAATAAATATAAAATTAAAAGGCTATAATAAAACATTTTAATTTAATTCTTCTTGTTTAGATTAATCAATAACCTATAGGAATTAAAATAATAATTATGAGTCTAAAAAATAATGGTATAAAATCGAATGATAATTTTTTTTTAACTTTTTAATTTGTTTTATTTGGTTATAGTCATAAAGTGTGTTCATATTGTTTTTTATATTTTGTTGAACAAAATTTAAAGTTATAAGTTTATGTAAGTTTTAAAAATTTTGTATTAATAATATTTTAAATAAAAGAATTTTTACATTAAATTAGAGAAATTGAAAAATTATAAGGTTGTTTTATATGGTAAATTAATTGCAATAAATCTTGATTTTTTGTAAATATAATTAAAGTAATTGAGTGATATAATGTTTCAAAAAATTTGAATACAGAAAAATGTCTATGAAGAAACATAGAATTATACTTTTATTTTATGTAAAAAATATTTTATCAATGATTAAGTATTATAATGTTTGATTCTTTAGTGATAATTGTTTAGATTAATCCTTTCAAGGAAAATCATATATTAAATATTTTTAAATATTCAACATCTTTTTAAAAAATTAAACTTAGAAATGAGTTTCATTATACAATATACTTATATAATTAAGCATTGCAGTTTATTAATTAAAATTAGACGCATAATTAAAAATACCATGTAGTCTAATCTTTCATGAATAATTAAAATTATTTAGTATAAATATAAATATATCTAATTTATATTTATTTCCACATTTCATCTGTATATATTTTAAAGATTCTTGAACATAATTATAAACTAATTAAAACAGAATTATATTATGTTGTTTCCTATTTCTAATTTAAGTTTCCATAATAATTTCACATAGTAAGATTATACTGATAATTATTGTATTGTTTATAAATTTTAAATTAAATTAGAATATATTAATAATGTATTATTAATTGAATTATTTTTATAAAATATTGTACATTTATAGTGAAATTTCAGATATCGATTTGATATATTGATAGATATATAATTATAAGACATTTTTTACTATTGCTTACATTTGCCGAGTACTATTTTATTTAGATATTGAAATATATTAAATTATAAACATATAGATATAAATTCAAAAATGAAATATTTTAATATAATTTAAGGTGGAATTGAAATTTGAATCAATTTGAATTATAATTGAATAAGATATGTTATTACAAATTATTTGATTATTATCATCTCTGACAGATACAGTAATGAATATAAAATTTGAAAACTAATGTCAAAGAAATAGGAATATAATGGCAAAAAAAAATTGGCAAACTGTAGCGTTAGAATGAAATATTAAAAGCGATCGGGTAAATCTGACCAGAATACGGAGAGTCGCGTCGCACGTAGAGCGTAACTACGCCAGAAGTGGGGAGACATAAAAGGAAGTATCGACTGCTTTCTTGAATCAGTTTTCGGTAAGTCACGAAACATACGTGACTAGCTATTGTTTAAGGTTTAACATTTATGTATTCTATTGTATATATATATATATATATATATATATATATATATATAGGCAAACGATATTTTACTTCATAAGATTGAATTTATAAAAACATAATTTCTGATTAACATATATTTAAAAAAAAAATTGTAACTGATATTTCAACAATGACCAGTTTGGTGAGTATATGTATGCGTCATTTTTTGGTTTGGTGAAAGTTTACAGTATTATAGTTCAGTTTTTAATTTGAAAGTGTTTTAATGTTATTAGTTACGAGATTTTAATTATTGTGAAATTGATCTATTATATTCTTAGTCGTTTGTAGATGAAAACTAAATTTTTTTATTATGACTGTCTAAATATTTTATTACAAATTTCTTAATAATATTACATTTTAACGAATATATAACAAATTTTAATTGATACATTCATGTACATTTTATGTAAGTTATATAATACTTCTAAAATTTGTGTATGTTTGAACTCAATTAGTTTTCTATTAGACTTAAATTACATACAAAAAAAAATTAATTTTTATCATTATACAGGTAAATTTTTATGTTGTTTGATAGAAATAATTAATATTATAAAATAAAAATATTTTTCTTATGATTGTCAGGAATTTTATATAATAATATTAAAGTTATAAAAATAAAAAATTGCAATATATTGAATGATCAATCAAACTATATAATTATTCTTATACGCGTTTCAGTCAGATACATGTATTGTTTTACTATATGGTTATATGATTAATAATATACAAATATATTAAAAAAATTAAAGAAATTATACGAGAAAATTAGTTTATTATTAATTATTAATTATTAATTAATATGACTTTATATATTATATATTATGTATAATTTATGTACTTTGTCATATACAAAGTACAGATTCTAAATTTAAATCAATCATCATCATAAAATTAGTTTTGTTTTAAATATTATTTATTTCTTATCATCGTTTCACAAAAGAATTCGCGTTTTCATTAACATGTCTAACATAAAATTATTTTACTATGGTAATGCAGTCATTTAATTTCTAGCTTCTATTATAATTATATTATTCTAATGTAAGTTACACATTTTGAATTACTGAAAAATAATGAAATTTGGTTTTCTACCACAAGCATTAGAATTTTATATATTTTTAAATATTATTAAATTTTGTTTTTATTAACAATATCAAAATTAATTTTTTTTTATGTATACAAAAACTAAGAAAGTAAATAAATTAATATTTATTAGCGGATTAATATTCGTCACATATTTAATCATGTAATAATAATACGTACAATTAATATAATAATTAATTGTATATAATAATCTAAACAAATGTAATATCTCACTATATTGCTATATTTTTATAAATAGTTCTGTTGATTATGTGAAGGATAATATAAATTTTATTTATACATTAGGTTTTTTTGTGAAAATTTTTTTAATATTAAATAGAAATATTTCTATTCCATATCAAACAAAATAGTTTACAAAATCAGCCAACTAAAATTAATTATATTAATAATAATTAATCGAAAGTATAATAATTATCCTAATTATTTTTTAGTATTGAAATTTCTAACAAATCTAATAGCCAATAAAATATGTTTATTATATTTTCTTGTAATTTCGAAATAATTATACAATAATAATTCAGAATAATAAAATAATTATATATAATTTTTTATTTATGACAATATTATATAATAATAAATTTTGTTTAGTATTAGAATAGCAATATTTTATTTCATAATTAATATATACGTAGTACATTAAGAAATCATTATTTATAACTATATTATTAGCTAATTTATAACTTTCAAATTTATTTAAAATTTACAAATGGTTAAATTGTAGGAAAAAAATTCATATTTATTAAACTACAAAATGTGTACAATAAACTTTACAATAAATTATAGTTTTTTGTAATGATTAAATATTGAATTTACATATTTCTTTTGAAACGTATAAAGAAAGTAATTTTTATTGCTGAAATGTGTTTAATTACTTTTCGAAAGGAAATATTAATTATGTAAAAATAATTTAGAATTGAAATAAAATATCAAGTTTATTGGTAAAGATTTTTAAATTTCAAATTTAAGGTACAATATTCATGTATGATACTATTAATGACGCAATATGTACGAATGTCACACAGCGTATCATTATATGATAAATTTGTTGGCAATGTTACGACTTTTCATATTCTATTTAAAAAAGGGTAAAGTTCAATAAGTTATCAAAAATATAGAGTATCGATTATGTGACGGACATTTGTGTGACAAACAAAAAAATTTAATTTCTTTTTCTCTTTTCTATGTTTTAAGAATTATCTCTTATTTTTATTATTAATGTTTTTCATGTTATACTAAATTAATTTCATTATGCCAATATATTTGCATTGTTTAGAAAGTACCACTAAATTCTTTTCATTTTTCTATTTTTTATTTAAACAAATTATATAATAATACAATTGTTTACATTAATTTATTTGACTTGAAAAGATTTCATATTTCTTTATGATCATTTTTTTATTATAAGTAACTCAATTATATTTTTAAATTATAGAAATAAATTTCTCAAATTATAGTTTTTTATTATATATAATCTGTAATTCGTTGCATATGCAATTAGTTATTAATGATAAAAATTTTCTAATTACTTATCGTTTGTATTTATATCTTAAATTAAAAACAAAACAAGTATAATTATAGATTAGCTAAATTTTTATTTGAATGTAAGAGTGGAAATTTTAGTATTATATTATTTAAAATTTTTCGTTTAATATTTGTTGATAAAAGTTATAATTGATTTACCATTATCGAAAACATTTAATTAATTACAACAGAATATTAATATCAATTAGTTTATTAAAATTTATGTAATTTTTTTCTATAATTATTTTTTATATGTAATTAATTGTTGTATTTATTTATAATATAAATAAACTATTTGTATATATATATATATATATCAATTGATTTTAAATATTATTAGTTAAGACCATTTTGCTGATGAACATAGAATGCTTTCACGCTGTTGTTTCTTAATCCAGAAATCATAAATCAAATTCTAGGACTAGTGCACACCATTACTATTTAAATATTATGAAAAAATATAAAATAGTTATTGTTATGAAAGTAATAAACTACACAAATATTTTTAATTTAAGTTAATTTATCTTAAAAATAAATAATACTATAATTCTTGCTATGTTAGTAGTACAAATAATAAAATAAACTAACATAAATCCAATAAAAGTTATATGAGTTGATAAATTTATAATCTGTATTCAAAACAAAAATTATATATTTTCAAATTTTTTCTTCAAATCTTTTCAATTACTTTAAGTACAACTAATAGATCATTTGTATATATAACTCTTTATAATATTTTAGTATTGTTGATTCCGAGACTGAATCATATTAAAAGTATTAAAATACGAAAGCCGGATTTAGTGACGTCATTTGATAGGCGCTTTCACTGTTCTTTATGAAATGCATGATATTGTGTAAGTTAGTTTTGCTTCTGTAGAAAAAGTTAGCATCTGTTTTCTTTATATATTTTTCAAATAACAAATTTCAAATAATATTTCATAAAAACATATTTTAGTACCAACATGGTAAAAGTAACTAAGCAGTAAAGCACTTTAATTATCATAAAAGTAAGTCGTAATCATTATAATTTTAGGGGATAATATTATTAATTGTATTTCTATATTTTAGCATTATTAGTCTGAAATTTTTGTATATGTTATGATTTATTGTCCGATATTTTTGGTTTACTTCAACAAATATTTAATATCTATTATAAAATAGCTGTAATATTTTGGTTTTTACATAAGGCTGATATTAAATAAATATTTAAATTCAAAATGAATAAACAAATTTTGTACTTTTGTTTGAAATTTTTTTAATTTTTTTTTTTTTAATACATGAAACTAATATTACTACTAATTTCTAATTTATTTTTTTTTCAATTTGTTCCTTTATTTTTGATGCTCGTACCAGTATGTACTAAAAGATACATTATATTCATCAAACAATTGTATCAATATTCCTAACGACGAAACACGATGCAAATTAGGCATTTTCATATTTTCACGCTTTTAACACTTTACTGTATACTTCCAGCGACAATCAAGAATCACGAATGTTTTTTCTATTATACCCATTCATTAACTTATATTACTTAATAACACGTTAGCCATTTTATAAAATATTTCTTTATTTGTTCTATTTTTAATTTTTTCATCAAATTATAATACATTCTATATTATTAAGTATTATAGAGCATATTACTGGAATACAAAATGATGTAGCTGTTTATTTTAAAATAAACGCATTACATATGCCTATGGTGGTTGTTATCAAAGTATTATTAGCTGCTTACAGGAGGACCTCAGTAAGAGTTACAAAATTTCAATTGAAAAACTATAATATCGTTATAAAAGCTTATATTCAGTTCACTAAGGAATTTAGTGTGAAATACTCAGCGATTTGGTGCAATATACAATATTCAATCGATTTCCCGTTTAAATACTAAATAAAACAAATAGTTTTTTATTTTAATATTTTTAAACTCTAATGATAAACTATTCTATATATTAAAAAGTATAAAAATACAAAAATCTAATAAATATTAAAAATATGTATTTTTCAAACTTCAATGAATAAATAATTGTTTTATGTCACTTTACTTTATCAATAAATAAATATTTAAAAATGACAGCTGAACTGCTTTAAAATAATCATTTATATTAATTTATTACAATTAAACACAGTACGTGTTTTACTGTTTTACGATCACTGAATGACCATCGCGTGAAAAACTATTATGCGATAGAAGTATACAATAAATATTTGTCAATCTTTAAATTTATAATACGTGTAGGATAACTACTTATTATTAAAATATTATCCTATACTGCTAAAATCATTGAGTCTTAATTAATACTATAAATTCTTTAAGAAATGAACAAAGAAACATTTAATCATTTAAAATATTTAGCTTATTTTGAGTTATTTTTATACAAAGTTTTCCTTATAATTTATTCAGACGAGTTTCTTTTTCTTTTGTATCTTGAACAACTTCTAGTTATAACGGTAATATTTGAAAAGTAGGCAATAAATTATTTATAACATTAGTGATCCGTAAATAGAAAATTATCTACTTTGATATGTTAAATATATTATTTCGAAATATATTTTAGATTTATACTACTTTTATATACTATCATTTCTAATGAAAATGAATATAATATCATTTATTTTGTAATTAAATTTTAAATATATATCTCAGTAAATCTAATTGTTTGATAGAATTAAACTGCAAAAGAAAAAATTAAATTTTATAATAAATAAAACATTTGAATAGACTTTCACAATGTTCATACATAGTTTGTGACTAAGTTCAAAAATAAAATTCAAATAAATAATAGTTTTACGATTGAGAGTATTTTTTTATATATTATTTACTTAAATCATTGAGTGTTCTAGTTGTATGTCGATGAAGTTTTATAATATATTATAATTAAAGTTTAAATATATTTGTATAACAATGATTTTATAGAATTTATTCTAAAATGTGTATTATATGGTTTATTTTATAATTTCCATATAATTTTTATGAAGTATTTAAAATTTACATGCGTATAGTTTATAAATTTTGATATTATATAATTCTTTCTATTGATACTTATAGTTATTTAAGTAACATGTAAAAAATGAAAATCTAAAAAATATACATAGTAAAATATATAGTATTCATATTTTATTAAAAAAGAAAAAATAATTATAATTGTGTTCTTTTGGTAAGTTTTAAATAGAGTGATGGAATATTAATATATATGGATTTACAATGATGCAGATTCAAACAGAAGCAATAAATTACATTTTCATATTAATTATAATAATGTTATGTTTAGTTTTTAAAATAGTTATATATATTGAGTAATATTAAATAATATTATTGTATAATATTCCAAATATTATCTATAAAAGTAAATGTTGTAAGTATATTTCGTATTGTTATATGTGTATAACAAACCAATATTTATAATTTGTCAAAAAAAGATTTTGGAATGCTCATATTATTGATATTTTGCATAAAATCCAGATGTACTATTAAACAAATATTAATCTATATCGCCATTCAACATATGCTTAAATCCACAAATAAAGATAAACTACAGATATTAAAATTTTTTCAGTTTATTGTATACATAAATAAAATTTATAATAATTATATTAATAATAAAGTATTTTTTTAATTTTTCAAAAAATAATATTGTAATGTAAATATTTTGTCAATAAAGTTAATAACTAATAAATTTATTTAATCACTATAGCATTTCAATTGTTTCTATAAATTTAACTTTATCCATTAAGATTATCTATTTTTTGTTGTTTTACATATTATAAATGATCATATCTATTTTGTTTAAGCTAAAGTTGTTTATTTGAAATTTTTTTTTTCATAATTATAGTCACCAGCATTAATAGCGGTAATATTACTATTAGTTTCTAATAAATCTGTACCATGCAAAGGTCAATGCCTAACTGGAAATGATAATCCAGTAACATTACGAATAGATGCTGCTCAGAAATTAAGTGATGCACGATTTAATTTTGCCCTTGAAGCTTTGAAACGGGTTGCTGACATTGATACTCAGGATAATATTTTCTTCAGTCCGCATAGTTTATACGAGGCTTTAAGCTTAGCTTACTTTGGAGCTCGTAATACTACAGAAGCAATTCTTAAAAAAGCGCTTAATATACCCGAGGATTTTTCTAAGATTGATGTACAAAGATTTTATGCATTTAAGAAGTCATTGGAAGAGGAACGCAAGGTCAGATTTATAGTGTTTATACTATGTATTTTTAATAATGACGGGTATTTATTGCTATGTAGCTTTTTTTTTATTTTTTAATTTAAAATGATAGAAATAAAATTTTCGATAGATTAAAAACAGTATATTTAGATAAATAATATGTATTTTCGGAAAATAAACTTTTACATCAAATTTTAGAAACGTAAATTTAGAGAAATTAATTAGTGATTTAATTAAGAATTTGTTTTGATTTAAAATAATTAAAAATTTTAAATAATGCTAATTACATTTCAATGAGTTACTATTACAATTACTTAAAAAAATAGTTTTAATATTTTAAATACTTGTAATCAATGTTTTTACAAATAGTATTAAGATTTATGCACGTATTTGTAAATTTCATATTAAATAAAAAGAGGACTATATAAATACTTCGATAGTTATATTATTTCTTAAAGATAATAAATATAATAAATAATCATATATTATATATTATATATTATAATTAATATTATCTTTAAATTAAGAATTATTTATAAAAATTCAGTTGTATATAATTAAGTAATAAAATAATTTGAAGTTTTATTTATCTTGTATATGTAAATTATAATTATGAATACGTAATATATAAAAAAGAAAATTGTAATTTTATTTTCTTTATAGATAAACTCATCTGGTAACTATGATTATAAAGTAGCAAATCACTTATGGCTAAGTGAAGCGAAGAAAGTTCGCGAATGTATGCTCGATTTTTTTGGTGGAGATATTGACCGAGCAGATTTCAGACAAAAGGCTGAGGTAGTGAGACTGCAAATTAACGCATGGGTGAAAAATACTACTCATGGGAACATTTGTGATCTGCTACCTAAAAATGCTATCGATGAAAGTACCGATGCTATTTTGGCAAATGCTGTTTATTTTAAAGGACTGTGGCAAAGTAGATTTTTATTCAGTAATACAAAAAAAGATGTGTTCTATCTTGGCCAAGATAATATGACTATTGTGCAATTTATGAATCAGAAAGGGTCATTTAATCATAGTAAGTACTTATTTATAGGAAATAATTTGTATTTGTTAATAACATTACAAGAATATCTTTCATAATCTTTAAGAAATGTACTATAAAAAAATACATTAATAATTTGTTACTTATAATTTGTTAGCGTATATACGTAAAAAACTTATGTTATTCAGTCAATCTAAAACAATGATTAACTAACTAGAAATTAACTAGTTAGTTTTATCATTTGTATAATAACAATTTTTATTTACATAAGTAAAAACTTTAAATTTATAAATACTTATAAATAAATAGTAACATTTGTGATAAAAAATTTATAATTATAGCAGTTAAGAGAAAATATTATTATGTTTTTATATAAATATAAAATAAGATAATTCGAAATTATATTTTTTATTAGAAGATACTTAAACAATATTGAAATACTATTTTCATTTTTAAAACAAGAAATATTTTATTTGATATAAAATCTAATATTGAAATTTTATTACTTAAAAAATTTAGAAAGGAGAGTGCGTGAAATAAAAAATTTTTTAAATTTTAGATATGCAATATTTTCACTTGAATATATTTTTGTTAGATACATGCAAATTTGTGTAGATAATATAATACAACATTTAGAATGTTTATTTTATTAACAAATTTTAATAGCTGAAATATAAAAATGATAGATTAACTTTATTCATTAGAACATTGTATACAATTAATTTCATAACTGTTAAATTTTTTAGTTTTAAATTGAAATTTAATATTAATTATGTAAAAATAATATTATAAGATTGATACAAAAGAATAAACAATAAAGTATAGATTTGAATAAATAATTTAATTTTTTTCATACCAAAAATAATAATAATGAATTTTTTATACACATGAAATTAATCTAAAATAATTAACTTTTAAGATAATATTTTTATTATAATATTAACATATATATAGTTATTGTTTTATTTTACATACTAAATTGGTATTGTACAATATTGCTGATATTGATACGTAATATACATGTTTATAGAGAATGAGAAAGCTTAATGATTCGCAATATGAAATGCTACATATAATATACATATAAAATACATGTCAAATAAAAAAAATGACAAAATAATATATGAAACTTTAAATAGCTATTAATAATGTATATAGTTTGATTATCGAATTAAATCGGTTTTGTACAATACTAATGTAATAATACTGTATTCCAACGGATTTGAATAAAATCAGTTTTTTCTTTTTATATTATTACCTTTATATTTACTAATTTTTTCATTAACTGTTTTTCAATATTTTCCAAACTTTATTTCTATTGATTTGTAGTTTTAATTTACTTCTAAGGTTGTGTTAGTTATTAGGGACTTAATAAAATTATTTAAAATATTAAATGCTTATCCGTCTTTTCTTAAGCTTTTTTTATTAAACATTGATCATCCTTTTACATAGGAAAAGACTTTATAAAGTCTTTATTGTGTTTTCTATTCCAAAAGAGGATTTTTTATTGCATATTCGTTCATTTTAATAGTTTATTGATATACTATATTTATATTTATATTTTTTCAAAGTCGATGTTTCGAATAGTTTATATTTAAACAGCATGCTAAGTATTTATATATTTCGTTATACTAGCATTTATTTTCTTTCATTACAGATAAAACTATTTTACAAATTCTAAATAAAATGTATGCTTTTAGTGGTTTCTGAGGAACTCGGTGTACACATCTTACAGCTGCCCTACAAAGGAGAAGATATTTCGATGTATATTTTACTGCCGCCATTCGTATCCAGTCAGCAAAATACTGCATTACTTAATCATTCTAAAGTTGATGGTGTACGCCAGTTGTTACAACGTATCTCCGATAATATAGACAGCGCTGCTGAATTACGAGACATCCTAGATAATGGTATGCCGTCCCGTGATGTTGAACTTGCTATTCCCAAATTCAATCTAGAGCGTGAACTGCCAGTTAAAGATCTTTTGCAAGCTATGGGCGCTGGAGTTATTTTTGATTCTTCGGCTGATTTTAGAGGTTTTACTGCCGATGGCGAAACTAGTGTACATTTAGGCGATGCAATACATAGAGCCAAAATTGAAGTGACTGAAGATGGTACAACAGCTGCCGCCGCAACAGCACTCTTTAGTTTTCGATCCAGTAGGCCCACAGAACCTGCTTATTTTATGGCTAATCATCCTTTTGCATATTTTATATATGATAGACCATCCCAATCAGTATTGTTTGCTGGTATTTTTCGAAAACCTATTAAAAAATAAATTCTTATTATTTATAAAAATTTATTGAATTTAAAGCAAAAATTATGATTAAAAATCATAAGAAAAGAATTGTTATCAAACGAAAAATTTAGATTTTCATTCAATTTAGATTAATCATTCAGAATGGTATAAATTCAAATATTTCTTCTTTGTTACACTTAAATACTTCTATAAAATAATTCTAAGGTGTATCTCGTGTAAATATTTTATCCATATTATAGAATTAAGTTTTTATTAACATTGAAAATATATTATACACCGACAAAACTTTATTATTAAAACATCAACATTTTATTTTCAATATCATGTCTTTAAATTGTTTTTTATGTATAATTAAATTTCAATTAAGATTTTATGCGTTTATTATTAGAATAATGATTAATGATTTTTTAAACTAATAATATTTGTTTAAAAATACCATAAAGAATATATAATATTATATTTAAATCATACTAAACGATAGTCACTTTGATATAGCATAATTTAAATTTAAATTCTCATTGAGTACGTTATATTCCCCGAATTACATAAAGAATCTTAAAATGTAAAGGTCTTGAGACTTTACATAAGCCCGAATAATTAATTGAATGCTGGAAAATAATTTTGGAATTACTCAAATCAGTAAACATTTATTTTATAAATAAAATAAAGGGATTATGAATTGACATACTTTTTTAATCAATTTATACTTTTTAAGTTATTAAATTATTAATGTAAATTATTTATATTTTTGTTATTATATGATAATGTAGATTCTTCTTTACAAATAATCAGTTCTTTATTTTTGAAAGTAATAATTGGTATATATAAAATAATTTTATTATGACATATCAACAAAATGATGTTAAACTATATTGTTTGTCAAATTAATAAATTTAATATTTAAGGACTTCATATAATGAACACTAAAAAATATAGATTCATTTATATTCATAATAAATTTAATATAATAGTGATATTTATTAAAAACCGATTGAATTACAAAATATAATTAAATATAAAAATTCCCCGAAATTTAATATGGTAAAAATTTATTTATATTTTTATAATTTACTTTTTTATTTTTAATGTTAAAGTTAAAATTAGTATTTTTAACAAGTAATAAACTACGAGTTTTAAATTCAAATATTTAAAAAAGTTTTCATTTAAATAAATTTTTACCAGATGTTTACCTTAAAAAAATTTTATTTAAAGTTTATAATATTTAAAATAAGTTATGAATTATGAGAAATAAGTAGAATAAAATAATTTAAAGTTTTAATGTAGCTAAAATGTCGAATTAAATTTAAAATTCAAATTAATTATTTTTTGAGGGTAGATTTTACTATTAACATGTTTTGAAAATATAATACCGTAATATTTTTATATTAAATTTTATATCTTGTATAAAAAATTCTATTGATATAAAGAAATGCATATATGTTAAATATATGAATTAAAAAATTTATATTATAGAACATAAAAAGGTCATTTATAATGCATGAAATAATAAAATTAGAAATTTATTCATAGTAGGTTACAACATATACTAATTATTTTAGTAATGAATGAATACTTTTTAAAAACTATATACATACCATTATTTGAGATTTTTAATTATATTACGCTTTATAAATATGTTATTCAAAAAATTAAAATATATAATACTTTCCTAATATATACATGAAATTTAGAATGCCAAAAAGCTATTAATTTTTAATTAATCAAATTATTTATTACTATTTTTCATCTTTTTCATGTAATTTTTTTTATTCATCATTTTGATCCAATTTTTATATTCAATTTTACACAAATATTTAAAAATTAAAGGAAATTTTATTTCTTATAATTCCTGCCATTTTTTATTTTGTAATTTAGTTTTTATTTCCTTGGCTATTTAATAAATTATCAAACAAGATATATTTAATGATTTCAAATTTGTAACAAAAGTGCGTATAAGTTTTTTTTTACAAATTGTAGAATAATATTATTAAGTACTTATAAATAATTATAGTATTTTAATAATATTAATAATAATAATAAAATTCGATTTTAAGTTATAATAGTTATTAAAACACTTGTAATAACTTTTCTTTTATTTTTAACAATAAATTTTAGCAATATACATTGAAGGTTTATATCCAGATTTTTTATTTTATATTACATTTTACTTTAATTAAAAATTTTATGTTGAATTATTATAATGTTACAAATACAATTTAAATATATAAGCAAAATAATATTGTATTAATTATTTCAATAAGTTTTATTTATCACTTAAAAAAAATTAGTTAATATATAAAAAATTATAAGAATTTATGTAATATTTCCGACAAATTATTAGTATCTATTTTATTCATTTAGATTTAAGTTTTGTTACTAAAGCAGACTTTCAATGTATAAAGTTAAAATAATAAATTGAAATTATAAATAATCATTTTATATTCTGTAATTAATTTTCTTATTGCCCACTTTTCTTTCATTTTATTTTAAATAAATAATTATCAACAATATAAATAACATATAAGGATGTATCACCATCTAAAAATATTTTCATTAATTTTCTTTACCATCATGTTTTTAAATTATGTATAGTTATATACTATGATTTTCAACTCAGTTTACATTGAAATCGTAATTAACGAATGTAAGTTTTAATAATTCGATCGCATAATTGCAAGAATTATTCGAAAATGTTACAGTATGATATAATATAATGTTATATATAATTTTAAATGAATAGCTAAATAAATGGAAAATTAATTAAATAAAAATATACGAGTTTTATAGAATTATTTAAACTAAGCATTTATGAAATAACTAACTTCGTCAATATTATTTTATTGTTTTGAATAAAAATTTATATTGGGAAACGTTATTCACAAGAATTAATAATTAAAAATAAAAAAAAATACAAATTTTAGATGTTCAAATAAAAATATGGACTTATTATAAAAAACATATGATGCGTTGTTCATAGTGAAATTGTAAATATTAATATTTTTGACAATTAATTTTAATCCAAATTTAATAATAAAATCATATAAATTTTTACAAAGTTCTAACTGAATAAATTATTCTACCCATTACATTTACTTTAAATTATTAAATCTTACCTTAAATATATTTCATTTGACAAATGACGAATATCCTTGGTAATCCTATTGAAATTATGAAAATTAGATATAGAGTATTATAACATTACATATTCATATTATTTGTAACAATAAATTCTTTTTCATAATTAATGTTTTATTAAAATCCTATAAAATAATTTATTTAGAAATTTGAAATTTTTACTCTTATAAATATAATCTTTTTCATCTTTCGTAATTATTTATTTATTTATTTCGATTTATTTAAATGAAATTATTTTTATTTAAAATGCTCCCAGATTCTATAATATATTATTATCTAATTATGATACATGTTAAAATTTAAGTAATGAAGCTAATTTAGAAAAAAAAATTTAAGAAAATTTGGGTAGATTGTGAATTGAATTTATATTTTTTCAATCAAATTATGCTTGAAGAAATTAAATTGCATTAAAAAATTTTGTTGTATCCCACAAAGTGTATTAAGTAAAATGTTAGAAGATAAATATACAATATTAATTTTTCATTATTAATGTTAACACATTTTATAATGATATAAAGTTAAAGTAATATATAAATTATAATATTCATTTATTATAAATATAATAAATGATAAATGTAATTGTTAAAAATAAAAGTAATAATAAAAAGAATAATTTTGAAACTGAAAAACTGTAATATTAAAAAAATTTAATTTCCCAGTTTAGCATTTCTTTTCCTATAAACTCAAACGACTTATGAACTTCAATAGATACCCATTTTCATGTCTAATATATTTTCATACGTTTAACTGGGCGGGATACATGTTAAATAGGGAATAATTTATTATAGTTTTAGTAAAATATGAAGTATATAAAATAATAAATAATAAATAATAATAAATAAAATATAATAATGTAAAAAGTCTTATTGGAAGTTTGGTTATATTGTAAAAGTATCTTCAAGGCAATACAATATTATAAACCTCAGAATACATAGATCTATAACATGAGTTTTATTTTAGTCTGTTGATTAAGTATGTAGTATTATCATTTTCTGATGCAAACTATTAATACTAGTATACTATATAGTCGGTATAAAAGTAAAAAAATTAATATTTAATATTTATTAACTATGAAAGAAAATTTATTATTAAATGTAACCCATTCTAAATGATTAGTGTATTAAGATTATTTGTATATATAATCATGTTTACTTCATTTTATGTATTTCATTTATTTATTTATATTATTAATATTTACTTTTTATGTTTATATACTATTCTGCAATATTTTTGTATACAATAAATTAATAAATTTGACTACATATGAAACAACTTGGAAGTCATACTAACTTTAATGTTATAACGTTATGATGGATTAGCATAAACAGTATATAGAATAAGAATTTAAAAAATCGCACGTTGATTAAAATTTTACATAAAACATTATAAATTCAAAGTTTTCGGATTTGAGTTTTTGGATATAAATGAATGTTTTAATAAATTTTCAGAGAGAAAAAATTGTAATTAATTATCAAACTAAAAAAAATAATTTGAAATATTAATAATTTAATAATGAATGTTTCACATCCTTTAAAAAAAATAAAATAATTATTAACTATTAATTTTATATGCTATCGACTATTAATAGACATATTAATTAGCTATAAATATAAATCGAATAATCAAATTATGCTTATGGTCAATTATACTTGTACAAAGTATTTAAACAGATCCAAATCGAAATTCGTGTAATAACTGATTTCAGTAAATTTTAATTAATTATTTTAGTTTTTATTATTTATGAATTGGAAATCATTACTACTTTTAAAGCTGGTATACGATAGAACAAACAAATCTTTATGCATATTATATTAATTTATAGCAATAAATTAAAAAAATGCAACAAATTAAAATATTCATTTTAATTTATTCGTAAGACAAAT